AGGACGGATTCGGTGGAGTAATCAGTGGAATCGAATGGACATGGTGGACTAGCTAGACGAAGAGAGCGAAGCTGGCCCTGGACTTATAGGTTGCAGATTACATAAATATAGGCGTCAGGCCTCATGTCCTGGGCGTCTAATGATACACGAAACAGGTTGAGGCTGTGAAGAAGTACAAAAAGGTCCGGTACACGCACCTCTGAAACTTAGATCAAGACACTTCCAGCAAGTTGTGCTCAATACCATCCACTTCGAGCAGGATGATGGAAGCAGAACACCCCGCTATTCGAATCGCCACGCCCAGTCGAACATTTGAAGGTCATGAAGATGGTATCTTAGCAGCAGTATTTCCCGATAGACGCCGTATGGTGACGGCCTCGTGCGACAAGACGCTTCGTGTGTGGGACATAGAAGATGGTGAGGTATTGAAGATAATGGAGGGGCATCGCTTCGGTATACGAAGAGCTGCAATATCGAGAAACGGGCAATTCATCGCAAGCGGTGATGATGGTGGAGAGCTCATCGCCTGGAGCAGAGATGGCGAATCTCTCACAAAACCCATCAAAGTCCACTCCAAGGAGATATGGTGGCTTGATTTTTCCCCAGATAGCACATTGCTAGCGAGTGGCTCATTGGACACTACAGTGGAGCTCTGGAACACAAAAACATGGCAGGTACAAGGAGATCCAATCAATTGTGGGACTGGCGCGGAGATCCGCTGTATTCAGTATTCACCGTCTGGTGAACACCTTGCCATCGCAACTGCGATAAATATCCAGATATGGAACCCAGACAAGAGGGAATGCATTGCAAAGTTCCAGGGTCACTCTGCGTTCAATGAAGCATGGAATTTTACACTCGTGTGGACGCCCGATGGCAAACAGCTCATCTCGGCAGCTGGTAGCGTTCGTGATCACACCATACGGATCTGGGATTCAATGACCTGGGAGCAGGTCGGTGAATCCTGGAAAGGCCGTACTGACATTGTCTACATGGTTGCCTTGAACCCTACTGGCACCCTTCTCGCGTCTGCATCTGCAGACCAGCAGGTTCGGCTTTGGCGGCTTTCGGATCGGCGAACCATCGCCATATTCAAGCACACCAATGAGTTGTTTTGTGTCACCTTCTTCCTGGATGGCAAGCACATCTTGAGTGGGGGAGGTGATAAAATGATCTCGAAGTAGGCGGTACCTTTACTGGATGACATTCCCGAGGACCAGACATTAGATGTAAGAATCTGTTTATTTTCCGTCTTTCTTCTCATTTTATTCAAGGATGCGTCACAGGAAGACACTTTGAAGGAAGACGTGGCAAATAATGTGAGTTCCTGTTTATCGACAGACGGTTCGTCTTCTTCCATATTGATCCTCAATCTTGATTCCAAGGCTCAACAGTCTAATTGCGAGGCTCGTTTCTGGCCTTCATTGTTACCACACAATCTGACCATGCGTAATGCAGATCCTCGCCATCAACACGACAACCCGCGATGCATGCATAACTGGGGACTTGCCTACTGCTGTAAGGCTGCTCACTCAGGAGATCTATGCGGATAGCAACAACTACAGCTCCTACGCAAATCGTTCGTTTGTTATGGCGAGAAAAGCCGACTGGGACTGCGCACTTGATGACGCCCTCAAGGTGTGATAGACTGTCCCCTCGTGACCGTTTTAACACAGCCTAATTTGTATGGCGATATAGAGCATCAGCATCCAGTCATCCATGATGGGCTGTATCTCCAAGGGCATCGCCCTCTGTGGTAAAAGGCAGTTCCGGGATGCGATGAAAGCATTTGACCTCGCGTTCATATTCGTAGACGCAGACTTGAGTAAAACTTGTCTTCTACTCTTGATTAAGGTATGTCAATTGTGCCTCGTATAATCGCTACTTACACGACAGCTGTCAGGCAATCGCCCTTTTTAATACAGGTCAACATGACGAGGCAATTCTGCGTGTCCAAGAGCTAGCTACCGTGTGTCCAAATGCAAATACTCTCGCCTGTGGTATCGTAGAAGTGAGTGCTCATGACACAGTCAACTCCAGATTCATGCGTCGATACTGATTTTACGAACATTGCACTTTAGGCTTATCTACACGTACAAGTGGGAATGAATGCGTTAGATGACGCACGTCACAACGAAGCAGCTGGCCACTTCACTGCCGCTGTCAACACCATCGGTCTCTTGCCTATGTCGACCATCCATTCTAAATATGATATCTTTGTGGTTGTGCGTTTATTGTGATGCAATATTTTTATTCTATGTCCAACTGAGTGCTTGCGCAGCTATTTGGGTGGGACCTCGAGTCCTTGTGGCTTACTGTACACCAGCATTGGTGCCGTTCGCTCTTTCGGGAAGGTAGACTTGCAGAGGCCCTCAGATCTTACAGACAAATAGTGGACGGATGTGATGACGCTGCGAAGGCAAGCTGCCTTGACTGGTCCACTGGCAAGTCTTCGTGATATCAACTGGCTACAATGCTCACCTGCATTTCGCTCAGCATTCAAGCAAGATTACAGCGCGCTTCATGCTGCCACTGGAGTTGCTGACCTAGCTGCAAAGGGAGATGATGCCCTCGCTGCGGGTAATTACGACCGGGCTATCGAGTTATACTCTGCAGCGATCGATCTCGATTTGGCAACCGAAGCCATCTTTGCGAACATATAGGTCATCAAACTGACCCCTTTGTCCTACGTCGGATACCAGTTAGAGCATGCAGCACTTCATGGCGCACAACGCTATGATGAAGTGATTGATGCATTTCACACCATGCTCTTGAAGTTTGAAAATGCTCCTGACGCACAAACACGGGGTGCGCCCCCAAATAACCACACCCTTAAAGATGCTTGACTCTTTCTCCAGCGCTGCGCCGACAATACGTCAATCCATCCGAAGCAGAAAGAACCATTCAAGAGACCATCAAGGCTCATCTCGACGATGCCCCACATCGTTTGCTTAATACCTTTACTGGGCGCTTATGCAATCAAATGGCACAGATTGGTGCGTTCAAAGCAAGCACAGAGTACAAGGAGCTTTTGTCATCAACATTGGTGGGCATAGATCTCCAAAAGGAGCGCATCAAAGATGTCGTGGCGACATACTTCCGTTATGTCATTCTATCACATAGGTGGGAAGAGAAGGAACCGTTGCTGCATGATATCCAGGGCAAGGTGGTATACGACTTGAATCCAGTCGGCGGCATCGTGAAGTTGCAGTCATTCTGTAAAACTGCTCATGATATGGGGTCTCGCTGGACATGGATCGACACCTGTTGCATTGACCAGACTAACAACGTCGAGGTCCAACAATCGGTCAACTCCATGTTTATCTGGTACTGCCACTCAGCACTTACCGTCGTCTACTTGTCGGATGCTGCACCTTCGTCACAGACTGGGGCACTCACAAGTAGCATTTGGAACACGCGAGGATAGACAGTTCAAGAATTCCTGGCCCCAAAATTTGTCCTATTTTATCAGAAGGATTGGTCCCTATATCTCGACGATCGCTCTCTCAACCACAAGGATTCCCTTGCAATCATGCAGGAGATGGGACATGCAACGGGCATAAATGCACAGGCCCTCGTCACCTTCCGTCCAGGGATGAGAGACGCCCGGGAGAAACTTCAATGGGTGTCAGCCCGTGTCACCACATGGCCGGAAGATATTGCATACTCGTTGTTTGGTATCTTCGGCGTCAATCTGCCTGTCATTTATGGCGAGAAGAAGCAAAAGGCTCTTGGGAGGCTCTTGCAGGAGGTTGTAGCTCAGTCGGGTGATATCAGTGCCCTGGACTGGGTGGGACAATCATCCGAATTCAATAGCTGTCTGCCGGCCGACATTACTTCATACAAAGCTCCGTCATACACCCTGCCATCTCTGTATGAAGATAACGTTCAGACGACAATCTCCTCACCCCGAAATGCCATGGCTGTAGATTTGGTTCAGAAAATTTACGCCCTGCTTGACAACATGAGCTCGTTTCGCGAACTGCAGACTGCATTTGCCTTGCATTGCATTTCGTGTCACAGCAGTCAAGCGGAGTCGCGCTCAAGACCAGGAGATATATGAAGTCGAGGCCGACGGGCTTCATGACCTGCTGATCACTACAGGGGACAAGCTGACTCAGTTCTCATCATCACGACCTACTATGCAGACATTCTTGCTTGTCCGTCCGTGGAATCGTTATATCCTCGAGCTTCCTGACTTTGCGGAGCCGTCTGGCCTGGTAGAGCTGCCCGATATTACTGACGACACGCAGAGCGAGGAAGATTATTGGTCTGCGCCTGGGTCTCCATTACAGGGTTCGCCTGACGGGTTCCCTGAAGCACAGGAATCGGTTGTCTCGGAACTGGGCGGTCGAGCGTTGCGATTGGCTGCTCATCTTGAGCAGCCTTTTAGCGCATTTTTGCTGGCACATCAGCGCGGCGGAGAATACAAGAGAATCGCGTCAGACCATGATATCATTGCACAAGTCAAAGACCTTTCTTTTATTCCGGACATGGTCAAGACGCTAGAAATATTGTAGCGGTATGTTGGAAGTAGAGACCTCTCAGCTGTACCGTAACAGTTGCTACTTTGTCTTCGGAGTATGACACTTCTCAGGACAGTGAAAATTCACTGCACGCAATGATCGCAACGATAGTGCGTTGATATCAGATTCGGAGTCAAACGTTACATGATGCGGTCTAAAAAAAAGAAATAACGAGGCATCGGGTCGCCTCCGGGTTCTACGACAATGATGAACACACTCATGGGCAAGAAACGCACATATATGCGTACCGATACCATAATGTGAGGAAATGGAACTACTCGACTTTCTCCATCACCTGGGTCGCGATAGTCCTTTCTCCTCTAGTTTTGAATGTGTTTTTGTTGCTGGTGTATTAGGTTTGTTTTATTAGACTGGGGTGGACTTACTTGCGCTGACGACCTCGGCTCTTAGTGCCAAGGAAGCAGACTGATTTGTGACGATACCATCCTGGACCCGGTGGGCACTGAGCGGCGAGTGGGATGGAACGCTAGCAACGCCTGCAGAACAAGGCCAACGTTCCACGTCCCGAGCCACCACTAGGTCCCAACCTGGATGACAGCGACCACCGATGTCCTGAAGATGGCACAGTGTGGGCAGCAAGCTAGAAGACGAAATGGAACGTACCCTCTCATCTCGTGCCCGAGCTTACGAACAATGAGAGTGTTGAGTTGGAGTGAGCTGGGGTGCTTGACCCATGGTGCGGGCCAGTGCAACCGACTGAGGAGATGCTGAGGAGGCGAACAGGGCGGATAGATGTCAGACACCCAAGAGCCCCGGCGAATGTGGCCAGCAGATGCACGTCAAGAGGATCAGGTGGACCCAGATCCTGTCCACTGTGCCACGAGCGACGCCTGTGAAGGCCAGCAGCTGTGCCGTATCGTTCCATTATGTTGTCTTGTTGCGTTCGTGGATTTTGAGGTTTTGGCTTCAACACCTGAGCAGTCGATGTCGGTTAGTAAGGCAGATAAGAATGTGGCGAGAGCGAGACATGTTTTCGAAGCTTGCTGTTAGACCTGAGCACAATTAGGTGAACATTAATTATCTGGCACATATACAGCATTATGAGGAAGAAACGTACTATATAGCATAGCGTCTGACGGGCTTAATCTAGGGTGTACTAGCAGCGGAAAAGACGAGTGTTAGTAGGATACCAAGTATCGGAGTTGGAGTCGCACGCCACATACACCTTGCTCGAACGTCCAAGACTCCGACATGAGGAAGTCGCACAAGGAAAGAGCTGTGAAGATGAGAGAGATGATGAAGGTTCAATTTTCTAGCGCTCGACGCCGATGGCCACTCGTCACAGGTATGAGGAAACGACATCTCTAAAGGAAGAGGTGGAGCAATGGAATGAAGCTCAAAGAGGGCTGCACAAGAGGAAGGTGCGGTAGTAGACTCCACCATATACGCCAGAAGATGAGACACAGAGTCCTCAAGCAAGCAGCGCACAAAATACCAGACTAGTCCCACCTGAGGCCACCAATCCCGCCCTCGATCATTCATCAGTCTCATCTGTGTCACCACCATCTTCTTCGACGTCAACAAGGCCTGAATATCCGCCCGGCTTGGACATGCGTACCCAACAATCCTATCAGCAACCGAGCTCTTGGTATCCCATTGCCAAGCCATTATCTCGGGTTTCTTCCCCTGTTCCTAGACATCGCCACACCTTCCATCAGATGTTAAGCCAGCACTGCAGCAGTTCCATGCATCAGGGTTTTTTTCTATATCTTCAGTTACGCAAATGCCTTCTGTGGAAATGAGCCCAAGCATCACACCTACCTCTTCGATGTTCTTCGCTCCCGGTTTCGGCATCACCTATCTCACCGAGGTTGCAACACCCTGTTCAACAACATACTCCAAACAATCTTCCAAGTCACCCCCGTGCCCCATTCGATTCCTGCCCCTCACTCACGCCGCAGGGGGAGCCTTTCGGTATAAGTGGGCCAGGATATGATGGGTCTTAACATATACCAGCACGGTCCCGCCTCTTTCCCCAGTATGGAACAATATCATCTGCCCACAACTCCAAATTCTGGTGCACCCTGTGGATCTTCCATAGCAACGAACAGGCCAGCACATCCCTGCCCCGTACCAAACCCACTCGTGTAAGCCTACTACCAACGTCAAATTCCAATACAGCCTCATCCTGGAGGTTCACACTCCACAATATTCTCGAGGAACCCAAAGCTCGCCTCCGCCCACACTGCCCCATGCGTTTTTTGTTCGTGACCGCTTTTGCGTTGCTAATCGTTGCGTGTCGATCGGCATCGACGTTGACAGGCAATGGTCGAGGGTGTGGGCTCGATGAGCGCGTATCCAGTGGCGTGGGACGTGCACGGGGAGGCATGCGAGGAGACGGCAGGAGATCCTTGCGCGGAGTGAGTTTACTCTCGGACGTTATTTTGTTATGCACTGTTGATGTGGTCGTTCTGCGGGCTGGTCGAGGTTACTGAATAAGGTTGGCCTCTTATGAACTCACAAATACTGTGACGCCTTGCTTCCAGCTTTGTATGATGACGGATATCCTAAGTTGAACTTTGAATGAATACCCGTTTTGTGTTAGACTTTATAAGTCGTGACCCTACACTCAGTCGAGGTGCTGTGGAATGACGAGGTCGAGTCTTTGGTAAGAAAGGAAGTCCTAGATTGAATCCAACACAGACCAGCCTGGACTATGGAAGGAGGCGATGTAAGTAATACATATCGGAGACAGAGACTTATGAAACTCTTCAGCGACTGATTTATTCATTTATATCGTTTTGGTAGTTATTGGTGGTTGAACCAGTGATGCCCAACAGTGACCTACTTCGGTGGTATCATATATAACAGCCAAGGAAGCCAGTTCAGTCTCTCCCGATCCAGAGCAGAGATTCGTCAGCAAGATATCCTTCCACGGAGAACGTAACCCCCTCCTTTGCAAGCATCTCCATCTTTCTATTGCACTGTGACCCAGTGTTCTTCTGTCCACCCCTTGCATTCGCGCCAGTGCCCCACTCGCCGGAGAATCCACCAATGTACAGATTCGATGCGATGATGCGATGACAAGGCACAAATGGTGCAAATGGGTTGTTTCGAAGTGCAGAACCAACTACAAAACGAGGTTGTAAGAAGAGACAAAGTGATTGCATTTTTGACACGCACCTGATCGCGGCGAACCCTGCCCAAGAGCAACGCAGATGTCCTTGTACGTCGTGACACGACCGCAAGGGATTGTTCTAGTGAAATCGTATACTGCCCACCGATGCAGAGTGACGCGCTGGAGAAACTATGGAGTAAGGAATGATGGGTAGTCTCAATGCATGCTGCTTGCCTTGCCGTCGTGGGTCTTGAAGGTGCTGCGGTCTTTTTCACTCAAGGGGTAATACATCTTGCCTGTAAAGACAGTTTCATGAGAGCTGTTTGACGTGGGCTATGGAGTCGAATGTCATCCGCGCTTACAGTCTGCCAGATCCTGCATTTCCTCCACGACTGGTACAGAAGCCCTTGAGGTTGTTGTCTTACGTCCATCGATGGCGGACTTCGTTGGGCGCGACTGTGTCCTGACGGCAGGCATTATTCAATAAAGAAATAAAAACAAACTATGTTATTAAGGGATGTGTTAGATACCAAGGTGATACAAGAACGAGCGCAGTGAGCGCTTGAGCTCTCGTGACAGGGGCAAACACGAGTCTCACGCGCGACTTTGATTCAGGGCCGGCAAGATGGTGGCACTCGTCCAACCTCTCAGGCTGTTCGCGAGATATTATAAGAACTATGTAAAAAGCAAGTATTTATCTAGGGAGTGTCCCTAAACCCCATCAGGTATTGCATAATCTAGAAGGCGGTCTGAAATTATGTCTCTGCATTAGACAGCGTCTGTATAACAGCATGGTCGACTTACTACTGGCGCAAACTGCGGAACCCTACACAAGACATTAGAAACGAGACCCTGTGTATTGCAGTGAACTCACATGTGTCCACTCAAGGCTACTTCGTAATAAGTGAGTCCCCACTCTGAGTGCATTGTCCCGTAGGCACCCACGCCATCAACAATGAAACTGTCGTTAGCGATAGGCGTCTGGAATCCTTGTAAACCATCCCCTTGGAATATAATGAGTGAATCGTGGAGCACATCAAACATTACTGGTCACGCACAGGTCATGCTACAAATGATTCCCATCGATTAAAGTGATACAGTTATGATCAAGGACGCACTTACTTTTGAATGGCAATTCTGGTTCTAAATCATCAAACCGTGCGTTAGAACATACGAAGATTAATGATCGAAGGTAAAGTCATACCCGTCAGCAATGAGAATGAAGTCCGCGAGACCGTGCACGATAACGGTCCGCTGGTTCTTCTCGATAACATTCGGTAACACAGAGAAGGCAGGCCGCAAGCTGCTGTCTCTGTTGGGGAAGACATGAATACTTGAGCATTCCGACCACTCTGTGTCAACGGGCGCGTGGATAGCCACTTTTACATTCATTCGGTTGAAGTAGATCGGAGACTCTTGCTCCCTGGATCTGCATCAGCTGGACTGCATTGAGTCAATCATTGAATGGCCTACAGTAAACCTAGGACATCCCATACAGTTGGATACTTGCGTGGAAAAGAAGTTAATATGGTATTCATTAAAATCCTCTTCGACTCACGGTGTCCCAGATGTGATAGATATTGAAGGCGGGGTTAATGATCAGCGCATTATTGTAAATGTCATCCCAGATATTGCAGCCTTCGGCAAAATAGACAGAGTCTCCTGGTAGGGGAAGAAGACCTGCTGGAGGGTATGTGACATGCTTATCCATGTAGCCAGTATAATTGCACGTCGCAGCCTTCTTCTCGAGGTGGTTCATAAACGTCTGACTGGATCCTATCGGTGGGTAACCCGCAAACTAGGTCCAAGTGAAACAAACAGACTTAAAAGAGAAGAGACTAGTGTGTCTTTTCACGAAGTCCACTGCAGGGATCTGCTGTTGCACCACCCACCACGAGATATAGGCTGAGTTTCATGTATAAGCGCTTGACAAAGCCAGTCAAAATGTTATTTACGATCATTGATCCATATCCCCTGCAACGAGAGGTCTAATTGAGTTGAGTTCTCGTAGATATAGTTTGCGATATCTTTGTTAGTCTTAGAATTATGTTCAAAGAGGATGACTGCTGGCTCACAAGGCACGTATGTTCCAGCGTACTGGATACAATTAGCGCAATGCTTGAACCTCTCTGAGAGAGAAACTTACACTTTCACCCGTTAAGTACAGCTTTTTGCCTTTGAGTTCCGAAAAGACATCAAGGAACTGCTGCATGAAGCCGACGAGTTGAGCAGCGACATCGTCCTCATTCCGTGCATTTGGTATGCCTTGGGAAAATCCCGTGCCAACAGGTTGCTCCACCCAAAGGACGGAGGACAGGTTGGTCCAGCTCCATTGATTCACCGTTGGTTTGGCCTGACCCCGGCCCAACTGAAAGGCTTCAAACACCTAAGTTATAAACGAGTCTTGCCGTCAACAAAGAGGCTTACACCGTTCTCTTGCAGCAAACCTTCTAGGGAGGAGCAGCCAGGGCCACCATTCGTCCTTCATCAGGTAGAATATGTCAGGTCTGCGGCGAGGAGCACACCACTCCTGATGACGCACCAAAAAATTAAATCATCAAGACTCCCTTGGGGGCCGGGAGGGAAAAACCAAAAAAAGAGCTGATGTCCTTGATGTCAGCACTTGAAGAACGTGCATAGACCACTCATGCAAACACCTGACGTGTCTCGTTAGGACTGTTGCTGATGGGTAGAAGACCTGCCCAGCTAGGACCAACATCGAAGTCAACAAGTGGAAGGGATCTGCCATCGACGTAAAATTCTGGAAGAACATGGATCAGACGTATTACATATTCACTTGTAGCATTTCAGTCACCTGAGGCTTTGGGATTCGTGAATGTGATATTCTGCACACCATTGCTCTTTACGTTCTGGAGGCCACTAGTCTGCCAACGTTTTGCCGCATCGAGTTGGCGTTCGCGTATCTCGTGCTTGGTCATCATATGACCACTGGTGGCGACCATTGCGAACAGAGCCGCAAATACGGCGAGAAGACGCATCACTGTCGAGCAAGAGAAGGGGTTGAATTTATGGAGGAAAAATAGTGAGTCGTGTGGCGTCGTATTAGAATGAGTATCTCTATCACAATGGGTCCGGAGCGAACATCCAGATAGACCAAATGCGTGTGAGGCGGGTCGCCATGGCATGGAACACATAGCACCACGCGTTCTTCGCGCAGCCCTACGTGGGCATAATCAACTTGGGCCGTAGTTGAACCGTGATTAACACCCATGTGTTGCAGCACAACTGCCGAGTTCTAGCAGCCGGTTTGGCTGAATTAGTTGTGCCTGACGGATGGCAGAACTTTTCCAGCGCATAACCTAGCAGAACCCCCGGCTCAGCAGAGTAATAAGCCATTCAGGTTTAATGACGAATTCGTGTGTTCATTGCATTATAATGAAATACTTACAGCCTAGGTAGTATGAAGTCCTGAAGGCCGTGTAATCGAGCAGATGGTTAAAGACGAACCTAGTAGACATCATAGCAGTGACATGGCTTGAAAAAATGGAAGTCTCGATACGACTATTCGCGCTGCCTCGTGGAATTCATGCCTGCAATGCTGGCAAGACTCATGTGTTGTTAGCCGGATATCAGCGAGGTACCGACAGAATAACTGGACAATTATTCCGGTCCTGTTTCATCATGAACAGTGTCAGAGCCAGGAAAAAATATAGACGACTTACCGTGACGAACTATGTCTCCAAAAGTTAAAGCCCTTGCGATGCCCACCATTGCTAAGGAAGTCTTGTCTTCTGATTCTAAACCCCCCGTGATGCCGACCACTGATGAAGCTCCACCCCCTACCGCGACCAGAAAGGCCCACTCCAAAGCATGTATTCGAAATGCATCACCATTGAGGATTTCATCTTCTTGCACGACAACATCCACATGGTCAAGTGAAGGCAGAAGGATACACGCACTAGCGCATTCACCGGACGGGAAGACAATTGCATGCAGGAAGGAATCGGACTTAAGCTGGGGGTGGCATCAGCCCCACCGGACGCAGGAGATTGTAGATGCCATATACCAGATAACCATTTTAGAATCCGTGGAAATAATAGAAATTGAGAACCTGAGTTTGACTCTGGGGTATGAGCCGGACAAGAAGTATGCAGCATACAGCACTCTGAGAACTTGGTAAAGATTGCGGAGGATGAAAAAATCTCCTGGACCCAGAGACAGTAGGCTTCCTGACATTTGCCGCGACTAGTCTCTAATAACTGATGTTTGTTATGGATGGCAGGCGTCTAAATCAAACCAGGGGTATGTGTCCCTATCTATGGCGTATCCCTAAAGCCCATCAGGTACTGCATAATCTGGAAGGCAGCCTGAGATGTCGGTCTCTGCGTTAGAGCGCATTTGGGTTAAAAACTGTCGACTTACTACTGGCGCAAATTGTGGAACCCTGCAGAATACATTCAAGTTTGAGAAGCATGACGCTGTGTATAGCAGAGAGCTCACATGTGTCCACTCAGGATTACTTCGTAGTAAGTGAGTCCCCGTTCTGAGTGCATTGTCCCGAAGGCACCCACACCATCGACAATGAAACTGTCATTGACGATAGGCGTCCGGAATCCTTGTAATCCGTTCCCTTTGGATAAAATGAGTGGTTTTTGCACCTCAGCGCTTCTGCGCACTCACAAGTCATACTACAAACAATTCATATTGATTGAAGGGATTCACGCAATAGTCAAGAACGCACGTACTTTTGAATGACGATTCTGGTTCTAAGTCATCGAATCAAACATCAGGGTATGGGAGAAGAACTCGTGGATGAAGGCATACCCTTCAGAAATGAGAACAAAGTCAGCGAGACCGTGCACAATGACGGTCCGCTTATTCTTCTCGATAACATTCGGCAACACAGTGAAGGCAGGTGGCAAGCTACCGTCTCCATTTGGGAAGACATTAACGTTGGAACACTCTGTCCACTCTGTGTCATCAGGCGCATGGATGGCATGCTTCACATCCTCGCGGTCAAAGTAGATCGGAGTTTGTGACTGTATGATCGAACCTCTGGGCCTGCGTAAATTGAAATGTTGGGTGCATTATTTAACTACTCACGGGGCGCCAAGCACATCCCACAGAACAGGATACTGGGATGGAGAACGTTAACGGACTAGTGATCAGGTTCCCCCTCGACTCACAGTGTCCCAGATGCGATAGATATTGAAGGCGGGGTTGATGATCAGCGCATTATTGAAAATATCGTCCCAGACATCACAGCCCTCAGCGGCCTCGACCGAGTCCCCTGGCAGAGGAAGAAGGCCGGCTGGAGGGTATGTCACGTACTTGTCTATGTAGCCAGTGTAATTACACTTTGCGGCCTTCTTCTCGAGGTGTTCTGTGAACGTTTGACTGGACCCGATTGGTGAGCAACCTGCAAACCCGGCTCAAGTGAAATAAACTGACTTAAAAGAGAATAGACCAGCATATTTATTAACGAAATCTACTGCAGGAATCTGCTCTTGCACCACATCCCATGACAGTGAAGCTATTCTCCGCGGATAAGCCCTTGAGAGGATACAGAGCGAATCAGAATGTTACTTACGATCACTGATCCACATGCCTTCCAATGAGAGGTCTAATAGAGTGGGGTTCTCGTAGATATAGTTCGCAATATCTTCGTTGATCTTTCATGTATGTTCTTAGAAAAACAAAGACAGACTGACAAGGGACGTATGTTCCTGCGTACTGGTTACAATGAGCATAACGTCCGGACAGTCTTCCAGAAAAACTTACGCTTTCACCCGTCAGATACAACTGCTTGCCTTTCAATTCCGAAAAGACCTCAAGGAACTGCTGCATGAAACCGACAAGTTGAGCAGCAACATCGTCCTCATTCTGTGCGTTTGGAACGCCTTGAGAAAACCCCGTGCCAACAGGTTGTTCAACCCAAAGGATGGAAGAGAGGTTGGTCCAGCTGTGTTCATTCACCGTTGGTTTGGCTTGACCCAAGGACCAACTGAAAGGCTTCAAACTTCCCAGTGAAACGAGTCATAGCATCCAACGAAAGGGGCTTACTCCATTCTCCTGCAGTAAACCTTCGAGTGAAGAGCAGCCGGGGCCTCCATTTGTCCTGGAGGAAGAGCAAGTCACATCAGTGGTAGATCAACACCGACCACTTCCTATCACACACCAAAAAATCAAATCATCGAGACTCCCTTCGGGACCGGGGGGGAAAAACCAGAAAAAGAGCTGTCGTTCGAATCAGTAGAGAACATGCACGGCCCATGATTGACATACCTGACGCGTCTCGTTAGGACTGTTGCTTATTGGCAACAGACCTGCCCAGCTTGGACCAACATCGAAGTCGACCAGAGGGAGGGATGTACCATCGACATAAAATTCTGCACAAACATATCAAACACCGGTGTTTACTGCAGGAGCATTTCATTCACCTGAGGCCCTGGGGTTCGTGAAGGTGATGTTTCGAACACGCTTGCGCTCGACGTCCCCAGCCCCTCCCATCTCTACGGCCCAGCCGGTTTGCCAATGCTGGGCTGCCTCAAGCTGGCGCTCCATCAACACATCCTTGGTCATAAAACGAGCGCTAGCGGCAGTCACTGCTAGTAGAACGACGGGAAGACGCAACATTGTCGAGCAAATCTAATAGCCAGGTGTGACACCAGCGACGTCGCCCAGCCTAATGCATGATGAGACTTTTTATGGTGGTTTAAATTGATCCGTGTGCGTTTTCTGTGACATGTTCATACAAGCATGGGAGGCTCCAAGGAAAGATGTGGCCTAACAAGTGATGGGGTGGGCTTAGCTAGCCAGCTGACCCGAGTATATCTAAATGTGTCGAGCTGCTGGTTGACACTAGTACGGCTTGATAATTGCAACGCATAAATCGTAGATAGGTCATCATAGTAGCATACATAGTAGTGGCCCTAGCCATAATATATATAGGTCTGGTCAATCCCATGTTACCAAATTAGTGCTCGTCTTGATAGCCTCTTCTTCAAGCTTCAAGTCTTATAGCAGAACGTCTGACAGGTATCAAAAGGTTTAAAATCGTCTAATACACGTTTTATTCAGTAATCAGTCTAGATTTCTTCAGGCCCTTTGCGTCTCTTGCTTGAGTTTTTTGATGGCTCTCCTCAGGGACAAGTATGCGCGCTCCCGAGGTCGCGGTACCGCCAATTAGGGGCCTTACATGAGGCCCAATCTATCACACGTCAACCATGACGGTGGTGAGCGGCAATATCATATTACACCACTTCACAGAAGGGGAGGCAAAACACAAGTCCGCACAAAATACTCGTGAAAACGACTGTCTTTTGTGAGCTCCGGGTGAAATGTCGTGAGCATATGTCGTCCCTGCCGTAATGCAACAATACTTTGTGAATCGTGTAGACCGGAGTCGCCTCCGGCGTGTGCCATCAACTTCTGTGACTTTGGCACAAGGTTAATCGGTAAGCGAGCGATGATTTCTATTGGTGGGTTCTCCGTGGATGGATGTATTGCTAAAACAACCTGATCGAGTCCAATGAATACAACGTCGCGGATGAGGGCAAAACACGCACAGGAGCACGAATGAATACACCCATGAACGGAGTGGTTGGATCCCGCAGACCCTCTATTGAAAGAGCTGCCTCGAACGACTCGACCTTCGCGAGACGGTGTCAACAGAGGAAGAACTGCAAAACATGATATTCATACCTGTGAACCCCAACCATTCCGAGCAACAGTGACTGATATTCCGCCGAGAAGTTCCTGGCCACCTTTTTTGGTATTCTCAACTGCCTGTGCAAGAAGAATCGCTCCGGCACAAGTTCCCCACACGGGCTTCTTTTGCAGAAATGTCCGCAGAGGTTCTAAAAGCCCAGCGAGCTTAGCGAGGAGTGCAATAGTGGTGGACTCTATCGGAAGATATGAGTGAGTTTAGGTAAATTGACGCTTGTCTCACCCCCTCCGGGGATTATCAGAGCATCACACGCTGAAAGATCTTCTACAGTCCGAACAAGAACGACCGCAATTTTCTTCTGGCATGAGAGCTTTTGCAGGGCAGTCTGATGTTCTGCGAAAGCTCCTTGAAGAGCTGTATTTTCCAGATGAAACAATGCATATACTATCCCAGCACACATACCGTACTTACCTAGTATGCCGATGGCAACGTTGTTGCTGACCTGGACATGGGCCATGATGAGAAAGAGTGGCACTGAATCGATCTGTTGTACACGTCACAGAACTCACGGAAACACATGCGAATTCCAGGCGGAATAATACGGATCGAATCAGTTAGAACATGTGGTCTTCAAGGAGGAGAAAATTTGTCGGTTGGCCGACGGCCCGCAGAGCGTGGGACTTTTTCAGGCATAAGTGATGACACGATGACTAAGACCCGGGCTGTTTTTCACTCTCACCGCAACCACCATCATGTCTGAGCTCGACGCTGACCTCTATGGCGGTATATATTCTCAAACCTTTGCGATTTGTCTAGTTTTGATTTAACACCTTCCTAGATCTCTACGGCAACGACGAGTCTGAATTTCCAACTTCAGCAGAAAACGGCGACCAATCTAAACTAGAAGAGTCTTTCCCATCGGAAGCGCCCCCTCAAGCACCTGCTATTTCCGCTGTGAAAGCTCCTCCGCCGACACCATCAAAACAACCTTCACCGGTCGTGCCGGCCGCTGCCGTCAAAGCACCTGCAACCGAGACCTATCCAGTGCAGACTTACGAAGAATACGCGTCAACCACTGCTCAATCTGGACCTCCTGCCTACGCTGCTCCCGCTACACAGCAGATACCAACTTACCAGCAACCTCAGTCCGACTATTCACCAGACTTGGGCCAACATGAAGGTGTGGGTAGTTATGACCGCCAACATAGCCACGAGCGAAGTGTGCGACCCTCAGAGATGAAGGATGAAGGGTGAGTTGCATAGGACAGTTCTACTAACTTCCTATAAAAACTTGGGTCATGCATTTTCGCTGGGAAATATTGGATCTTAGTCGTTGACGGTCAATAATACCGACGTAGTTGTTCGGTCATCGTCACGCCTAGCTACTCAGCTATGTCGACTAGGACGACTAGTCTAGCTCTAGCATATTCGCGTTCTCTACGTCCAGTCTAAGCTAGGCTAGTCATAACGCGAACAGACAGTAGCGTCTTTCCTTTTCTCCTCTGTCATAAAACCCCCTGTCTCTACAGAAACTAATAACGAGCTTTGCTTTTCATATCGTACGCTCAATTACGGACGTCCGAACGTATTCGACCATGTTGCCTCGCGCGTGCGACACTATCTATAGCAAGATGTTCATTGGCGGTCTCAACTGGGACACAACCGATGGTACTTACATCATTATTACTTGCTCTGTACCATTCGGTAGTACTAAAATAAGGTCGTTCGCGGCAGAGTCCCTCAGGAATTACTTTTCCCAGTTCGGTAAAGTAGATGCATGCACGATCATGCGCGATGCTGCTGGCCGGTCGAGATGCTTTGCCTTTTTGACCTTTGAGGATCCCGCAAGCGTTAATGCGGTGATGGTGCGGGAGCACTTCCTAGATGGCAAGATTGTACGTACAATGTTGTATCTAGCATTGGAGTCTATTTACCCATTACCCAAGATTGATCCAAAGAGAGCAATACCTAGACAAGAGCACCAACGCGCCACAAAACTGTTCATCGGCGGTCTTGCAGGGAGTGTGACATCCGAGTCGATGCGAGATTTCTTCTCGCAGTTTGGCAAGGTCATTGATTCGACCGTCATGTTAGACCGTGAGACAGGGAGAAGCAAGGGTTTTGGATTTGTTTCATTTGAAGACACAAATGTCCAACCCTTCCTCGGTTTTGGGAACCTAGAGATCGATGGGAAATTGGTATGTGACGAACGTGCTATATCTATAAATAGACACATTCATTCACGGACTTTATTTAAGATTGATGTGAAGCTGGCGCAACCGCGTTACCAGCGCGACAACTTCAGTGAGGACGGCGGTCAACAGCAGTACACCAACAAGGGCGGGAATTTCAATGCAGCAGCTAACTCTATGCCCGCGGCTCCCTCGGGCAACACTCCATTTGATCCTCAAGCTCTTGCCGCTTTGTACACCCGCATGTTCCAAATGGCAGGCGGAGGCGGCATGATGGGAGGTATGGGTATGAGTATGAATCCAGGCATGACCCCGGGGATAAATCCAGGCATGATGGGTGGCATGGGTGGTTATGGTGGCGCAGGCATGGGCATGGGCAGGGGTGGCATGGGAAGTCCCGCAATGGCAAGTGGTATGGGTGGAGGACCAGGAATGGGTAGTGGTATGGGGCGAGGGGGACAGGGCATGGGGGGTGGTGGCACACCCACAGGGCCTGCCAGCCTAGGTCCGAATGTCCCACGAGGTCCACGAGGAACACAAGGTGGTCCGGGTGGTCCTGGTGGTCTTGGCGTTGGCCCACAACGTGCGGGACAACGAGGGCAGCACAGCTACCATCCCTACGCGCGCTAGTTCTCGTGAGATCGCTGGATTCGCATTGTCATTAACTTATCAATTCAAAAGCTGGCCCGTGTACGCATGAAGATGATGGACCTTTCATATGCATTTATACACAGTAGTCTTGTTCGTCATTTTCGCCTTTTTTTTTAAGTACAGTTCCTGTAGTATGTTCAGAAGCCGTATGGAATGGCCTATGTATATTGCTAGGTTCCATAAATATTTGGCCAGGTTTTGGACAAATCCAGGTTCATTCAAACAGATAACAACAACTCGAGCACATTGCATTTGCTGATGCTAAACAAATACTTCCGTTAGATCTGTCAATATTCTCGGAGCTCGAACGTGTAGACATCTTCCCAATCTTTCTAGCTATCAGTTCTACGGGATTTCCCAATTTCAGAGCATCAACACTCACAGAGACCGCAATACAACTCGAACCGTGGGCAAGGTGCCTACCGTGTGCCCTCAAGATGCCTCCTCATGTGGACGCAGTCATAGTATTCCGTGCCATCCAGAAAGGAGCCAGCTTTTCTAAGGAGCAAGTGCGCCAGAATGCTGTCAAGGCTGAAAAACAATATTCTAAGCTCATTAATACGCTCACCCGAGCTGGCCTCAAAGCTGTTGGGAGGCGTGGAGAGAGCCAGGGCCAGTTACTTGTAATGGTGACTTGCCCGCAGAAGGTGCTTTCAAACCTTATTCATTGTGAACGGTGAGTTTCACAATGAATTCACCCTCCATATTCTTATGCATCAACAGACATTCGGACTTTTTGTACGGACTTCCCATGTCTAAGTTGCCGTCCGCGAACGACTTTGAATCAGGCCCACTATCTCCCGCCGACCGCATCCGTTTGATCCACGGATTCATATCCTCCACTCCCGAAGATGGAGGCTTGGGTATTATTCCGGGGCGAAAAGAGTGGGGTCTTGTGGAGTCCGTAATGGCACTTCACGATCACGACTTCAACGATCACTGGATACATCTATGGACACGGCACCGAATAGCGAGCGTGGAACTCGAAAAGATTCGAGACCAGGTTTGTCCCAATTATTTTCGTTCCGTATACATCATTATAATGATGTTGTCCTAGTTTGGAGATTCCGTTGCGCTCTATTTTTTCTTCCTTACAGCATATACACGGGCTTTGATATTTCCCGCGGCACTTGGCGCTATCTATTATCTCTTCGGGAGACCTTACTCTGCTTTATACTCCACTTTACTCCTTCTGTGGTCAATTGCGTTCGTCGAATGGTGGAGACTGCAAGAGCGTATCCTATCAATCAGATGGTGCACTCGTGGTTCGTGGCGCGTTGAAAAGCGGAGGGCTGATTATCTCCCGAGCTTCCCCTGGTGGAAGCAGGAGATGCGCATGATGGCTGGCTTACCAGTCATACTGCTCTTTGCGACCATTCTTGCGGCTATATTGACAGGCATATTCGTCCTGGAAGCTTTTGTGACGGAGCTTTACAAGGGTCCCGGCCATAGATATGTGGTAAGCTTACTTATGCCTGCCGCTTACCGCCTTTCTGAGCATCATTCATTTAAGTCCTTCGCTCCAACGATACTTTTCTCACTCGTTGTTCCTCGGTTACTCGCAATCTACCAGAAATATGCCACGAACTTCACGGATTGGGAAAATCACGAGCATCAATCGAAACATAGTTGGTCTCTTTCATTGAAGGTCTTCACACTCTCGGCGGTGAATGCTTATCTCGGCCTTGCGCTGTCCGCATTCGTTTACGTCCCCTTTGGCGAAAGTGTTATGCACTTCGTCCAGTCACACTTGTTCACAGATGGTCGTCGTGCGTTGGCCTTCCTGGACAGATTCAATATCAATTTCAACGCCACGTCCCATCTCGGTGCTAGAGGAGGTGATGGGAAAAAAATCAGTGCAGTCGGACTCAGTTTATGGGAGTGGGATAGGAAAAATGCGCGACGCAAGTTGAATTCATCGAGGCTTCAGGAGCAGATGTTCGCCTTTTCGGTCACAAACCAAGTGGTGGATACCTTCACGGCTATTGGTTTGCCATATATCCTCCGTGCCGTGGAGTCGTTCCGCAATGGAAAAGGTTTTCGGAACGGTAATGGAAAGGTACACGGGAAGAAAAAGCGGGTAGCGTTTGATGACGAACCTGTGGGGCATGATGTACACGGCAGAGAGGAGCGCGAATTCCTCGAGCGTGTTCGGAGCGAAGTGGCGCTGCCAGAGTATGATGTGTTCACGGACTACAGCGAGATGGTGACACAGTTCGGCTACGTCGCTCTTTGGTCAACAATATGGCCACTTGCACCAGCGATGGCACTTTTCAACAACTACATTGAAGCACGCTCTGATGCGTTTAAAATCGCAGTGCACACCCGACGACCGACGCCTATTCGAACGGATTCGATAGGGCCGTGGCTCGAGTCTCTATCATTTCTTACATGGTTGTCGGCTCTCACGAACTCTGCGCTGGTATATCTCTTCCGTCCCCCTAATCAACAAGAACATGAGCTTGGGACCATGGTGGATGCGAATGTGACTGATGAGTCACAGCATCACCGATATGGTCTCGCTGCAACCCGGGAACTTTTGATGTCCGCTCTGTTAATCGCGATGTTAGCGTCCCATGGCTATCTCGTGATGCGTGCCGCCGTCCGACATATCTTGAACCGTGCCATATGGACGGGAAGCAGGGAGAAGAAGGAGGCAGAACGCGTGGAGCGGGAGATGAAGGATAAATATCTGAGTAGCCTCGGGCAGTGCGCGCCGGGTGAAAATGGGGTGTTGGAAACGACGGGCGAGTGGGCCACCTTCTGGGCGACAGACGAGGGGATGGATGATATAAAGAAGATGCTGAAAGATGCTTGAGTCGCGAGATTGTGGGTCGAGGTATTATGCACTAAGTGACAATCGATAAGTTACAGGCCAACTAGCAGATGGAGATCTAATACATTTGGGACGAACAACGAACTTTGGACAAGCCTAGTTTGCGTGTGTTGTGCGTGTATATCCATAACTTATGTCTTATGGTGTTTACTCAATGATGTTCAACAACGTGCATCTTCTCATTTGCCCACCATGTCATTCGACCTTGCCACGACCTCGGCTCATCAATACCATCTTTCCCGTCAATTCATTACATGACAACCACGAGCCCGGAGCGGCAAGCAGTTGATTCATTCACTGCGACCGCTAGTGTTGCCCTCCTGAGAGGGACTCTATCCTTGCTAGTTCATGACTCTCCCCCTACGTTTCCTTGATCACTGGTCAGGCCATCATGCTCGTTTAGTTTCAGTTTCGGAGTTGGCGTCGACAGTTCACACGCATGACGAAATGGATGCGCTCACCGCTACTTTCAATCGAGGTTCTTTGCGGGCCTAGATTCTTGATTATGTTACCCTGGACCTGGCGGACTGAGGGGCGAACAGGTGGAACGTCAGACACCTGCAAGCTCCACGCGATCCGGAGACTGAGCTACTGGCGGGCATCCTCGGTTTCCTAAACAAGGAACCCAAGTTCCACATCCTGAGTCATCCACAAAGTTCCGACGTGGACAGCAACGAATGCCGATGCCCTGAAGATGGCACGATGTCAGTGACAGGCCAGAAGATGAAAGTGTAACTCGTTTTTTTGCGCAAGCTTACGGGGCAGCGAGAGTGTTGAGTTTACAGGGGCTGGGGCGCCTGAACCAATGTGGACCAGTGACCAGACCGGGGAGATTGGCGTGCTGAAGAGGCGAGCAGCATAAAGCTAAGAGAGATGGTCGAATACCCGATAGCCGCCTCGGCGAATGTGCCTAACGGCGCCGTAGGCGATGGTCAGCAGTTGCAGGAGTACGTCTTTCAGTGGCTTCTTCACAATGTCCTCAAATATGAAAACTTGATGCACGCTGGAGTTTTCATCAGTAAGGTAAAGTACTGAACGTCAGGTGTGAGGCTATGAATGTGGCGCACGCAAGACATCCCCGTGGCTATTTCAAGTTGCTGGCGACCTGGGTGCAATCAAGAAAACAAAGCCTCAGTCATCTAAGACATAGGGTACATACCTCGGAGCATAATGCCGTGCGATGACGGGTGGGGTGGTCGCACAAGAATACTGGTTGTGGAATGGACGCAAGGCTGTCGGTACCACCGTACCAGGATACCAATGCGATGCGTGTATCCACTTCACATCATATCTCATTCCAGCATTTGGTATGGGTCAAGCAAGACAAGAAGAGAGAGCAGAAGAACAAGCGGGTGAAGGAATGAAGCGCTGGCAGGACGTGACTGGGGTGTTTTATACACCACAGCAAGCGGCTGACATTATTTCATTTGGACCAAAGGGGACCTTCGCATATGTAAATGCGTCTTGATCTGGACATTTTGGAGACTGCATCGGACCCTCATGCATATGCTCGCATGAATACAAACACAAGTTCTACTAGCTATGAACACGAGGTGGTGTATTGTGCAGCATGCTAAGAAGTTCCACGATAACAAGCAACGTACAAATACATAATTGAGCATGCAGTTCCTCTTACAGCTGTATTTACGTGCTCAACGTCACGATCAACGGCTTCCGAGTTCGAACATGCAATCCACGTGCGCACACATCTCCCATGGTAGGACATCACCTTTGTCAGAAACTCCTTGTACATAAAAGCGTAACCCTCTTCCGTCCATCACGTTTTTCGGCAGAATCGTCGAATCCACATAAAATCTATTAGCGCGCCCATCTAGACCTGTTGTTCCAATGAACATCGCAGCCGTGGGCTCCGCAACACTTCCCGAGAGGGAGTGCGGGTTAACGTAGATATTGAAGTAGAGAAATGAGGGGAATCGTTCTTTGGTATCGTCTAGAATCCATGCAGGATTCGGGTCTTCTGGTGAGGATATCGCTTGTAACGTGAGACGTGGAAGAAGAGATGTAATGTCCCAGGCGAGAAGCCCGCTGAGATCAGTTGAAGGGGAGGTGAGGGGCTTGGTGCTTTGGAATTTAGCCCACAGAATCCCGGGGGTTCCCTTCGAGGCACGGGCAGTGGAAGAAGATGAATATACGGCAAGTTGACCTAACGAGACTGAAAAATCAAGTGGTCGAGATGGATCTTCGGTAACAAAACCGATGATCAAGCCAATGGCAATCGACGCGTTAACTACGTCGGGGGGCAGCGAGAAGCTAAGAACTTGTCTGGTCCAACCGTTCTTGAGATAAGACTGAGTGGATGCCCCGACATTGACCTCTGGGAGGTCTCCGCTACCCTCCATCAACGGCTTTACGAAAAGTCCAAGGTCAAGGTCGGTCCCCTCACAAGCGACAGTTTTGTAAACGATGTTAACGTCATATGACACAAGGGAGGTCACATTCAACGACTGCACAGGGAGCCAGATGCACCGAAACATTGCATCATCGGCCGTACTGCCAGCACAAGAAATGGAAACTTTAAGGGTATTCCCTCCATTCCATGCGTCGCTCATATCCAACATGGATGACGCTAAAGGGAGTGATTCTGGACGATCATTACTTTCCCACATCACAGATGGTCGCGGCCACACTAAATTCCCAATGGAACTTTGCTTGTCGACGTCAGTCCAACCGTCCACTGTCCGAAGAACATTCACGCCTTCGACAAACCACGAACGCCCGACTCCTGGAGAGAACGACGTGTAAAAAACCAGCTGGGCGGGGTCAGGAGGGGTGGCGTGTACGAAGAATGACGATACTGGCTTGAACGGATCGTGAGGACATTCAGGCTCTCCTGGACGCCTAGGAGTATCAGGCACGGGGACCACCTCTTGAGGGTCTGCGGGACCGATCCATAACTTGCGCTCATATTCCCACCATTGGTCCCAGTTCCATCCAGGCTTGTCTTGTTCGCTCTCCCATGTCCACGCTTGCCCGAAAAGGGCGACACTCAGGCCAAGTGATTGGGGATCGATATGTGTCATGGCCTTGTAGGAACCGAATCCTCCTCCACCGTGCGATCCTCGGCCCCAGACATCAACACCTGTAAAGATGCTTTGAAGAGACTTGATGGAGGAAATAGAAGACCTCTTCGCATCATCACTGATCAGCGCTGGATCCAAGCTCATGAAATACTGGGCAGTGAGAGCTGGAAAAGATGGCGGCCACTTATGCAATACGCTTGAGCTAAAGGCGGCGAATGTGAACACGAACTTACAAAGTAGTTTGTGAACAATGCATCAGACGAGAGGAAAAATGGCAGATTTAGGCTGTTCAATCGATCCTGCCACCTCACTTGGCCATTGAATATCACACTGTCGTACCTGTGATATGAATTGGGTCAGGAAAATTTGTTATACACTTTTGATCCGCCTTGGGCTCACCAAATAGTTTGGGCATGGGAACCAACTTTGGTTACAAGCTCGGATCTCAAAAGTAAAATCCATCCAGCAAGCGCCCGCGCTTGTTCCGGGCCCCCTCGAAGCGGGCATTCGATATTCAGGAGATAGCCATCAAACCCGCGCTGACGAGCAAGCTCTGCTAAAACTGAGGCATAGTGTCTTGACATGGGGATCGAATCTGTACGTAAAGTTGGGCCTGCGCCCGCCTGAGGACATCCAACTATCAGCCGGAGGCAATCAGCTTCTCCAGATCCCTCAAATATTCTGGAACGGGGTGAGTGGGTGCGGGTTATGTAATGATGCTTTATGGAGCTCACAATGTTCCGAGCATCTTAACCCCTTGTCGATGTGCAGCATTGATCCATCCTGATGGAGGAACAGTAATTCTGTGATGCGAGAAGCTGGCGCAGGTGATGAGGTACGATAAGGTAGTCAATTAGGTCAATGTACTATACGAATGTGTCACATAAAGGCCAAAAATTGAATGTATAGCACAAGCCAGAAGGAGATTCTGTATACCCTCCCTATGCAGAATGGAAGACCGAGTCATTTCATTACGGCTACTGATCATGACATAAATCAACCGAGTCACCTACTCACTTTATAATCGTGGCACACCTTTGATAGGCAGGTCAGTGGGGCATCGTGGAAGAGCATGAGTTTTGCTTCTTCACCAAAAGCTTCCCTTTCCGGTTCAATGATTCTGCAAACTGAGGACGGGCCTGGTACTCCAAGACAGCCATTAACTTTTCGTGAGGGAGACTAGCCCACTGATCAAGCTCGGCCAGAGACTCAAAGTAGGGTGCCTCGTCGCCAACAAGTTTTCCATGTCCAGTTCCTCGCAGAGGCATGTCGTTCCACGAATTCAAGCTGGTAGCGGTAGTTGATGTCGATGATTGAACTGAGCGTGGGAAATAGCAGTGGGGTTGTTGTGTATGATGAACTCTCCCCCAAACCATTCTTTTTTTCCCGTTGTTATGACGGACATGTCTGAGGAACAACAGGACAGTATAGTCGGTATCGAAACACCAACAGAAATCGCAACCAACGACACCGAGTATATTGGAGACAAGACTCAGCCAACCGAAGAAATTCTGAATGCTCTGAATGCTCTCAACCAGACAACCGCTCAAAACGGACACGAACAATCTCCAGCCCAACAAAGCAATGTCAAGCAAGATACTCCGAGTCAAGAAACTCCGTCTGAATGGCATGTTCTGCGCGAGAAGCTGCGTGAGCAACTTCATGATCCAGACAGCTGGAATAAACTCGTCGACTTCGCCGAGGCGCGCGGTGAAATTGAACAAATAAAACAGACCTATGAAGCTCTGCTTGAAGTCTATCCCAACACGGTATGCACCTTCCAGCCTCGCACTCGACAGTCCTTAACATGTATCACAAATACCAAGTCGTCTGCTCAAATTGCCTACCTCAACCATTTCCTGAGCCCCGGTCTCTTTCCGTACGCCGAAGAACTCTTCAGAAGATTCCTGAGATCCTCTCCTCTAGTTGACCTCTGGAAGTTCTATCTTACCTACGTCAGGTCAGTGTGATATGTGCGCTATATTCCAGATGCATTGAACTACTTGCACAGACGGGTCAATACATCACCGGCCAGTCGCGAAGCTGTTAGCAAAGCATACGAGTTTGCCTTGAGCCGTATAGGCCAAGACAAAGATAGCGGGGATATTTGGAGTGATTATATCCAGTTCCTTAAGGCCGGAGAGGTTTGTCATTTTCCTGCCACTTTTAGCACGCTGTTAACGCCTGTGACAGACAACCACAACATGGGAGGAACAGCAAAAGATGGATGCACTGCGCAAGGTCTACCATCGCGCCGTTCAAATCCCTCTCGAAAATGTCGAGAGGCTCTGGTCAGAACTGGAGACTTTCGAAAACAGCCTCAACAAGATAACGGTGATTGACTTTGCTAATATGACACGATGTGATACTGACGGCGGTACAGGCCAAGAAGTTCATGTCAGATCTATCCCCATCATACATGCAAGCTCGTACAGTGCTTCGTCAGCTCCAACGGCACCTAGGACCGTTGTTTCCTCCGCCACCAGCTTCTTCGTCGACACGACCACATCTATATCTCCCTCCTACTCCTACGTTTAATGCGGCTGAAAGGGCGCTTGTCGGGGCTTGGAAAACTTACTTGAAGTGGGAAGAGAGCAACCCGCTCGAGTTTGAGGATAAGGATAAAACAACCCTTATTTCACGTATACAGGGTGTGTATCGCAAAGCTGCTATACGAATGAGGTTTTATGCGGAAATATGGTTTGTTTCCAATTTTAACTCTGTCATGGATAGCTCATGGTCTGTACAGGTATATGTCGTTCGTGTGGACAAACAGCATGGGTAAGCCGGAAGAGGCGCTGAATATCCTCAAGTCTGGCATGGAGGCCAATTCTACCAGCTTCCTCCTTCACTTTGCATACTGTGAGCTGCAAGAGTCCCGCAAGGAACACGCTGAGGTCACCGCGACGTTCGACAAGTTCCTTGACGTCTTGCGTGCTGAGTTGGATGAGCTCGAGAATCGTGTTAATTCCATCAACGCGTCTTTTACGTCTGATGGCTCCGGTCGTACCGTGCCTACGAGTGCTCCAACTGGGAATGGTTCAGGGTCGTTAGAAGCGGGAACGATCTCCAATACTTCTTCCTTTGCCACTCAGGCTTCCGATGAGAAACCTCCAAAAGTCAAAGAGCTCTCCGACCGAAGACAAGAATATGGTGTTGTTTGGATCATGTACATTCGGTTTGCACGACGTGCTCTCGACCTCAAGGCTTTCCGTTCAGTTTTTGCGAAAGCTAGGCGTGACCGATGGACGCCATGGGAGGTCTATGAAGCTGCTGGTACGTTAAAGGCCCGAGAGTTAGAGCCGCAGATAATGATGGTCCCTCTTCAGCTCTAATGGAATACCACTGCAACAAAGATGGTGGTACTGGCGTGGCATCGCGTATTTTTGAGAAAGGTTTGGAGACTTATGGTGACGAGATTGAGTTTGTTCTGAGATATCTTGGATTTTTGATATCCGTGAATGACGAGAACAGTTGAGTTCCATTTTCTTTACTTGTTGTTCGTCCACTCACTATTTTTCCGCCCAGACGCTCGAGCTCTTTTTGAACGGGTTATCACAGCTTTTCCGCCTGAACGCGCTCGTCCTCTGTGGGAAAGGTGGGCTCGTTATGAGTACCAGTATGGTGATCTTGAGGCAGCACAGAAACTTGAAAAGAGAATAGCTGAAGTTTATCCCTCGGGTACGTGCACGCATACTTCATTTAGGATGTCGAGCTCATAGTTCTCTCAAGATCCGCCCATCAAACGGTTTGCTCAACGACATACATATCTGGGAACTGATGCCATTGCAGCACGGGATCTTGGGTTTGCCATGGCAGCTCGTCAGCCTGCCGCGTTGGGTTCAGCTAGCACCTCGAATTCTATTGAAAAGCGAACGGACTCTTTGTTCTCCTTGACTTCAGCTTCGCATATGCCGGCCGGCCAGCCGCCCACAAAGAGAGCCTCATCTCCGGACTACAAGAGACGTGAGGGATCTGCTAGACCTGACTTTGGCCCCCCCAGCAAGCGGCCGAGGCCATCATCTCCGCCTCGCGACCGTGACCGAGAGAGGTGGGAGGGTCCCCCTAGAAGGCGATTTGGAAGTCCCGCAGGCTGGGAAAGAGAGCGAGACAGAGAACTGCAGCATGTTAAGAAAGATCGCGAAGATGACAAGCCGTCTACTTTGCCCACAGTTATTTCATGGTTTATTGGACAGCTACCTAGCCCAGCTTCCTTTGATGGTCCGTTACACTATTTCCAAACTCTGAGGAATTCCTGATGCGAAAATTATTATAGGCCCCGTGTTCCGAACTGATGATCTGATGATGTTGTTACGCAATGCTGTGATTCCTAGTGCTACCAGGCGTGCTACCCCACCGCCTACGCCGCTCCCGCCGGCGCCTCCTGTTGCCCGTACTGGTGCGTATACTGATTGATTCCAGTGGACATATCTTCTAATTTATGCACAGGTGGTGGTCGTCCACCTCCGGATTATGGACCATACCAAGGACCTGGAGGAGGGACTCGCGGTGGTCGCCGTTATTAGTTTTATTTCGACGTGCTTAAAATCTAACCCGTGGTTTTTCGTAATTGATGCCTTCCCTGTATTTTCTTTATAATCATATTGCAAGTCCAGTGATTCCGCAGCACTCTCATCATCATGTCGCTTGGAATCCATCACTGACACTTGATCTTGATCCTATCACTTACACCAATAGACCACTTCTCGACATATCACTGATTGATTGGTCCTCTCGCAGATCAAACGCCTCTCACGCGACTTCTTCCTCTTGCCAAGTGCAGTTTCCTTTGCCTGAAACTATTGGGGGCCAGTCCTAGATGATGGCGACAATTCCACTCATTGACAATCAGGCAAATTAGTACCTGAGATGTGCACTGCTTCGCGCCTTCCTCAGAACCTCCCGAATATGACACTGACAGAATCCCACAACTCTGGCAAGGAGGCAGCGAGGATGGGCCGGAATCTTTCATCATGCAGTTTATACCGCAGTCTCTTCATTTCGTCAAGATGGTATGTCCGTGTCGACCTGAGCATATTCTCGGCAATGACAGTCCGCCATCCAGTGACCTCGTGTGTATAGCTTCTAGATTCCTCCATGATATTTCGGAGGCAGTATTGCGCTCATGCATGGGTATCGTGTGTCCATCATTGATATTGCTCAGGATGAGAAACTGAGCGTTTAAGTCATTGTTTCAGGCAAGATTTTATACTCGGCCGGGTTTTGGGACTTGGCCGGTCTGACCCTTCAACGTAGTACGAGACAGGCGTAGCAATTGTGTGATGCAATTCTTCTACTGCTTGCTTTTGAGTGTCCACCATTTGTGAGGAGACTGCCAAGACCGATCTCGTTCGTCTTTCCTTACAATTGTTATCTGACATAGTATGTATGTATACCGACTGTTGGTAACATGCACATGCATCAGGTCGATAAGAAATAGGGGTAAAGAAGTCCAACTCGCCTAGAGGCAGCCTACATGCGCTTTTTTTTTTAAAAAAACTTTGAACGATAGGTGACAAGCGACGAGTAGTTCGATGAAGGACTGACGAAATTGACGACGTATGCCCAAGATCACATTATTTAACAACCTTCACTTTTTATATACTGTGCACTTTGTCATCGAGTCTCCTACCTGCCGTCCTTGCTTTGCTCATTTAGAGAAGGATGATCCTTGAATTCAAACTAGTTAATCTATCACCGGGGTTTAAACGTGAATGGCCTGGATGGACCTCGACTAACAAATGCTGGAACCGAACAGATAAAGGCGTTGCGTTATATGTTTTATAACATAGTCTACCATAGCAAGCTCACAAGAGATATCCCTAGACTGTCGCCATCTCACATCTATACGATCACTGTAGCAGAATGGGCATATCCCGTCTGAAATTTACATCAGCCAATATACAAACTATAAATCATCTTGGAACGAACCACAGCAGGAGGGTAGTAACTCGGGTGCTCCAAAGCGCTGTCAGACACCTGGAACCTGTCCACTTTAGATGTTTGGGGAGAAGTGTCTTGTAATTCATGTGAGATGTTGACTTGTACATCTGGGCGATAGATATGCGGGGGTCGGATTTGTGAACCGTATGAGCTTCCATCCGACCCTAGATAATGACGCGCATTCAGGAGAGCCATATAGGAGTTCACGTATACTAAGTGCTTCAAATAAGCTTTCTGTGTGCGATAGAAAACTATTGAAGCGTACATTTGGACAGTAGAAATTCAATTCCAAGGAAGACGAAGTTGTCTGGCATTGCTGCGTCCTGTAGAAAGCAATAATAAGTCACATGTTGTGATTGACATCAGGATTCTCACCGTGATGATGCATGCCATCGAGCACATGCTTAAGAAAGTGGGGTATCAGTGACAGGCTGGTGAAAGAATCATAACGAGACGCGTACCTCGTTAAGCATCCTGTATTAATAATGTCTCTTACGAGTGTCTGAAGAGTTATATCCGTTCTGTGATGCTATCAGCCAGAGGAACAAAACATCAGGGAAAGTCATACTTAGTGAACCCCGTCTTAGCAGAGATAAGAAGGTAACACAATGAAGAGGCGATGAGAAAGTCAATCAGAGTCATTGTGCTTAAACTCAGGTAGATGGTCCACCGAATTTTGGACAGGTCCGAAAATAACTGGGACTTGAATCTAGATCAATGTGTTTGGTGAGAAAGCAACAGGTGCAGCGAGAGATTGATTTACACAGCCCAGAACAGGACTAATGAATTGGGATAGAGGTCAGCAGTGGATCAATAAAATTTCGCATTTTACTTTACCGAAGCCAACACCTGCGATACAGATGGTTTAATGTTAGTAAGAATACTCGCGACGCAATCTATACACTTGCTTGATGCAAGGACGATGGTAACCGTCTTGTGATCGTTTCAGGGTGGGAGAAAACAAGCTATGACATGGACACTTACCATTAACACAGGCAAAATTCTGGTCCTCCCTTTGCTAACTAAGACTATCAGGTGAGTACATCGGTGTCATTGTAGTCCGCACAGATGCGTACTTATCCATATACGCTGCAAGTATAGTCTATATGTAAGTATATCAGCAAATTAAATCCACTGGCAGAGGTAATACTTACATGTGCACGCTATACACAATAAATACCTGAGAAACAATGAAGAATATTACGCAGCGGTTCGCATGTTTTGACTTACGTCAATGACTATTAGCGCCTACGCGTAATAAAGTTCAGGAAGTGGCAGTCCAGTATAGTTGCAATCATTGCGCACCTTGAAACTCCACACCATCTTGAGAAGTGCCGGTGGATTTGCGTAGTTGGTGATCAGATAATAGTATATCAGGTGATTCACCAAACAGACATGCAAAACATCGAGTAACCTTGCGAGTGCGATTACCAAGTCAGCCCTAGCACCGGTAACAAGCCTTAGAGACACTTACCAGAGCCAGCATACCTTGAATCATTGAGTTAGAACAAGGTCTGTATTTCAGTCTAGGGACTTGCCGCAAGCTTGTAGAATGTGAATCCCGAGTTCTTGCGTGACTGGAAGTAGAGAAACGCTTGGACGTTACTCAGACCGAAAAGACTATCAAGATCAGTAGGAACTGAGTGACCCCATGATATATTGAATACTAGACTCACATTGCACCGATAGTTCCGCCAATATAAAGCGCCCCGAAGGTACTATCCAGATCAAGTTGAGCCATGTTGGACGTAGTAGAATACAGATCTCATAAAATGGCTATGAGACGGTCATAAGGTCCTTGAAGTTCGTGATTTATACCTGTTCTGGAAGCGGTGCTCTCGTAAATCAAGAGGCTCAGCTAGGAACGGGCAAGAGTAATAGTCAGAAAAGTGTACATAGAACCGTAAATAAGAGAGCTCACCTCAATTTTGGATCAAAAGACTGGGGGAGATTATTCGGGGGGAGAAGAATTAATACGCTGGAACGTGTATGAGGTGTGTGATTAATTGATTGCGTATATATGTAAAAGAAAAGGATCACGGAGTACGTACAAGAGTGACGTCGAGGGTCATGCATTCATGTCTTAATGACACAACCCGCACATGCAACATTGGAAGCGAAGAACACTGTCCGCCTGCTAGAATGATCGGACTGATTTTAGTAGACAGGAAGTCCTGTGCCTTGATGTAGATGGGGTACATTGACATTGATTTGAATTACCTGCCGCGCAATTCTGGCGTGTAAACTGCAATACATCTATGTACACAGCCTCCATCAGTTCCGGCGTCAGCGTCACGCATCACTCCGAGACGATTTTGAGACTCACTACGGGAGATGTCTCAAGCGAACTTTAGGTGCCAAAGTCCCTCGGTGTTGTAGTAAATCTCGGGGGATCGGGTATACTAAAAATATGTATCACTGCAGGATATACTTTGACGCCAAATTGCCAATATGTATATATAGACCTTCAAACCGTTCCTCAACCTTTGTTGGAGTCAGTGTACGGTGCGAGTCGATCCGCGCAAAGGCGATAGGGGGGCTAGTAACAAGTACTAGTATATATAGCTGTCTTGATGGAAGCGGTTGCAACGTTTCGATTTGACATAATTGTATGTGTTACCACAGTCGAGCTCGACTCAAGACGGATCAAAATACCATGGCATCTCGATTCCACGCAAGAGGTAATGTCAATATTACAAACGCTACAAGTACTAACGATGTAAAGATACATAGAGCTACGAAATAAAAACAATAATCTATCACATCAAATCGATAAAGTCAACACACTCCAAACTTCAAGGCGAGTCAGGAACATCACCCCCAGCAGCAAAGTCATCCAAAAATTCCTTCAGAGTGTCTTTCATCTCTCGTATGAGCTCATCACGATCCCAGTCAGTACGGCGTCTCCAGATGCACCCAAGCACTGCTGCACGAAGCTGTTCGAGAAGCTCAACGGAGAGCTGTGCGGTTTTGGAACACAAGTCATGCTGAAGAGTCGAAAGTAGATGCTCATCGACGTGGAAGTCTGGCAAAGGAGTTGGGGTTCTTTCTATTTCGACCGGGGGTACAACCACCATGGGTTGCTCTTGTATAACGTCAGCAGCGGGGGATAATGACCGAGTGGCTAGCGGAGAGGGCGTGCGCGGCGGCAGCATTAATGGATTTAGAAGCGCGACTCCGATCGCTGGGGACAACAAAGGAAGAGGAGGAGTACACCCATCTTGCGCGGGCACGGTCGACGGTCCTGCACCATTGAGGAGGTGGGATATCAAGGTTGCTGGGAACCCGCCGTCAGGAGACATCGGATTTAAGAGCATAGGGTCAAAGCCAGCCGGTTTCCGCGGGGAAGGAGAGTCGACAGCCATCGCACTTGGATTTGACAGACCGTCGATAACGATAGGTGCACCATAAACGGGCAACGCGTCGCTTTCAAGAGGCGGCTGAGCGTCATTTGCAAAACGCACAGCTGAAGCTCTATTCTGAGCGCGAGATGCACCGATGATGTCCATCGGGTCATGATCATCGTCGCTCGTTATCGTCCGCTGACGTTTCGAGCTCCGAGGGGTGCTAGGTTCTTCTGCCTTATCGTCACCTGATTCAGGAGAACCGCTGTGACGCTCAGTAGAGCGTGCCCTTTTCAGTCGCCTTTCCAATTGTAACGGATCCGTAATAGTAATCTCCAGTTGCTGGCCATTGTGGCGAGCACTCCTGCGAGGCGCTGCCGCACCGTTCTGAGCGTCCTCTCCGGCCCGGCCCTTCCCTTTCGCCTTCTTGTGTTCCTCCCTTCTTTTTCGCTCCCGCTCAGCCATCCGTTGACACTCATGCTTAAACTGAGCATCGAAGTCTTGGATGTTCACTTCGGCAGCAGTCAGCATAGCTTGTGCCCTATATAGCCTGTCACCAGTAGGATCCTGATATGAACGTGCCGCGGCGTTGAAAACAATCTTGTTGATATCGTCTAGGAAATCTTGCGGAGTGAGGTATTTGCCCTTGTACAGGTCAACGTGCATCCTCTCGAGGTCCATGTCGAATAGTTGTGGCTCTTGTGGCTGTGGCGGCGCCGGGTGCTCAATTGGTTGAGGATCAGGGTGGACGCCATTGACGATGCCGTTTGACTGCTCCTGGGTGACCTGCTCACAAACGTCGATGACATCATTTTCGGCTTGCATGGTTACGGTAGTGGTAGTAGCAATAATTTCCACTTCGTTGACCACAGGAATTGGATCGAAGTCATACTCCTCCTAAAGCAGGATATCAGTGACTGCAGACAGTCAATAATCATACTCACCCTAGCTTTCTTGGTAAATCGTTTGAATTTGCGTTTCAGCTCTGTTAGTATAGGGCCGAGACGATACTTCAATAATGTAATGACACGCTGGTCACTCTCTTCCTGAACAGCAAGTTCAGTAGCGGTCGGCTGACGGGGCTCAAGCGGTGGCGCAATCGGTAGCTCCTCAAGAATTCGTTTTCGGCGCTTGATACCATCCGCGAACTGATTCGGCGGTCGACGGATGTCAGCGATAATACTCGAGAAGAAGGCTTCTCGCTGAGCTTCAGTGGGACTTGGTAGTGTGAGGCGATTCTCGCGGATCATACCGAACCATGAACGGACGTCATGGGGTAGTGAGGAAAATGGACCGTCTACAATGGCAAGTACGAGGACGGGATCCGTAGGCGCAAGCGAATCAAGCATAGATCTAACAGTGGATCGTGCAGTCTCGGAAACCGCTGCTGACCATCCATCGAGAGAAGGAAGGTAGATAACCGAGGGCTGGTGTCTTTTAGCCTCGACGAATAGTTGAACCACAGCGGCTTCCACAGTCTGATAATACCATCAAGGGGACGAATATGTCATGACGAGATAAGCTTACCCGTGTTGAGTCCCCCATAAGTGTCCCCAGATCGAGAGTCTGAACATGATATCCCTCCAAATGATGGAGGGCGGCGGCTCCTAAATAGCCTTGTCCCATACCAGCAGGCCCATGGAGTACCAGCCGTGGTCGGTAAACCCGCAAGGTCTCCATAGCTATGGGACAATCAGCAACTCCATCGACTAATCAGCGGTCAGCACTCACATTGGATGAACAGTTCTCTATCAAGGGCATTTGCCTCACTGTCCTCTTCCCACATAGCTTCTTCCAAAGCAGTGCGCTTTTTGCTAACAGGAAGAACCCTGTTAATAGCATCTTTCACCCTCTCTAAGGTGTCCGAAAGCAAAGGAACAAGCTGAGTCGGGAGAGGTGAAGCAGATGAGGACGACGAGCGTGCGGATGACGGGACAAACTCTAGAAATGAGACGTCAACTATAACAACCATCTGTGTTGCATTAAACAAACGTACTTTTGATGGAGATCATGAAGTCCCTGAATGTTACGCCGATGGTTTCGGGCTTAAGCAGCAGCCGGTCACTGGACTGGTATATCTGAGGATATCGCCGCTGAATAGCGTTCAAAGCCGCCTCGGTGCATAAGGCCTGTAGTATAGGTGAGTATGACGATCAGCGCGCGTAGCTGTGAATTGGCATACCCGAAGATCAGCACCACCATAGCCCTTGGTGAACTTTGCAAGTCCCTTGATATTCTCAGCACCGTCCCCGTCCTTCCAGCCCTCCCAGTCCTTTGTCATGATCGTCAGTATACGTTCACGAGCCTCGAGAGATGGAAGGGGAAAATAAAATTCCCTGTCGAATCGGCCAGGTCTTCGGAGAGCAGGGTCGATGGCATCTGGACGGTTGGTGGCGCCTATGACAATCACCTGGCCACGTCCGTCCATACCATCCATCAGCGCTAGAAGCGTTGAAACAATCGAAGCGTGGATCTGATCTTGCTTCGATGACCGGACGGGTGCCAATCCATCAATTTCATCAAAGAAGATGATACTCGGTTGGCAATTGCGTGCTTCCTCGAACAGGAGACGCAGCTGACGTTCAGCCTCACCAACCCATTTTGACAGGCAGTCGGCACCCTTGCGCATGAAGAAGGCTACCATATTATGAGAGATGATGTCCTGGCGGAAAGGAGTGCAACTTACAGACTCCCTTGCCATTAGCCCGACAGCTCGCGGCAAGAGCACGGGCGAGGAGCGTTTTTCCTGTACCAGGAGGACCATGGAATAGGACTCCACGAGGAGGCGTTAGATTGAATCGCTGGAAGACTTCTGGGTACAGTAGTGGAAGGAGTGTCATTTCCTTCAAAGAATGGATATCTGTAGACAAGAGGTCAAGAACGTATGGCAACGGAATGGAAGAATACGCACGATCATCCAAGCCTCCAACTTCATCGAAGGTAACGTTGGTGTTTACTCCCAATGGGTCTGCGTCAGCCAATGCTGCAAATAGATGAGTTTGAGACGATTTGCAAGTGGTAGCGGTAATCACCTGCATCACCAATTTTACCCAGGTTCGACGGGGTGCCAGCAGCAGCAGCAGCAGCAAGGTCGCCTGGCAGTAAACCAGCGCCACCCGCGGAGACAGGGCCTCCGGCACCAAAAACACCGGCACCCCCAAAAGGTTTACGGGGTGTTCGAGTTGGGAAGTCGGAATCCTAGCATAAACTTGGATTAGCTGACTGCCATATACGGCAAACAGGTATGATGACGCACCGAGTCATCAGCTGGGGCCATGCCCATCCACCTGCTCAGTTCAGCACCAGAGGCACTCCATCCTGGTCCACGCCTTCGATTACCCCCACCTCGACCACCAGCCGGACGCGGTTTGGCTTGTTTCATCTCCTCCAGCGCTGGTGGGATGGCATAGTTTATTTTGGCACGTTGTCGTAGTGAGTACGGTCGGCCATTCTCCTGCAGCTCCCGAAGATCATGTTCAACCTCGCCATCCAAATCCACTTCACCTTCGGCATCGAGGTCGTTATCCGAGGATGTGCGTGGTGCGTCATCAAGGGAGCCATCTGCATCGGCTGAGCCATCCGATGGCTCGTCGATATAGCCATCATCCATTTCAGCAGCGGCTTTACTTTGAGCACGCGTCAATCTCTTGGGAGGGTTGTTACTGGGTTCATAGCGCTTGGGTTGACGAGTGACACGTCCACTAGAAGTTGTAGGAGGGGGTGGGGGGTTCTTGTTCCTATTACGAAGGACACGACGATTACTTATTATGTCGTCATTGATGGAACTGCGTTTGCTGGAAGAGCGCGTTTTTCGACGTGGTTGATCGTCATCTTCGTCATCACCATCCATCGCGTCGATATGAGAATTGACGAGTTCGACATCTTCATCATCCCGGAATATCTTGTTGACCTCGTCATCACTCGACTCGCGATATTGGGTTAGCTTGACCGTGCGACCTCTCTGGGATTTGACGAAGGTAGCAGGGGGAGGAGATTCTGGTGATTCCGCAGAGACCGGTGGGTGGTCGTCTTCACCCATCACAGACTTTTCACTTTCGAGGTACTCTGAACTGGATTGGGAGAATCTGCGGTTTCTGGTTGAGCGACGCGGAACATCGATACCTTGAGTCATTCGAGCTGGTGGTAGCCTAATAGTTGGAGGAATCTTGATGGTGATTTTTGGTACAAAAGGCGGTGGCTCTTCGTTGGGCGATGGCAAGTGGAGTTGTTCAGATGATTCTACTGGATGAAAGTCCTGCTGAGGAAGTGGTGGATCGGGATCTTGCATAGACAAATGTCACAGCGCAAAATCGCGAAAAAGGAGCGCAATAGGAGTGCGCAAGAGAGACTTGAGGTTCACGCCGCTTGTTGATTATTTCTTGAACGATTTTAGATGAAAATTGGATGAAACAAGTAAGAACGTTGGCGGAAGCACTGACACTACCTTTGTTTGCAGGTGGCTATTGCCTGCTATTGATTGTTTGGCTTTGTTTGTATTTGATGGCGCGTGGTGACCATGTTGCTCCGAAGTTGGTGCCCTCCCCATTTCCCCCTCCCCTTCAACTAGCCAATCCTCTCAAAACGACCAAGCCTCTCCAGATTAAAACCATAGTTTCTTTACAATCTTGGTAGTTTCAGAGATGCACGCAGAAATCCACGAATTTGAGCAGAAAAAAAGGAAAAAATAAGGCTGGATGAAGACTTTTAGTTGAAGTGGTTGACAAGACGTGGTGGAAGTTCCAAGGGAAGAAGTGCTCAGTTTTCGTCGTCGATGTTGCTGTTTGCATCCCTCCAACTTGCTGAAGGCTCATGACGTAAACAGCAATTCGCGTCCCGTGATCTTGTCACACATGTGACCGGACTTACCTTTGATGCTGATCAAAGCAACCCAAAAAAGGTGCGCGTATTCGTTTCCACACAAGCTGTCAAGCAAGCCCTTCAAGGCGAGTTTACGGCAACAGGCCAACCTATGACATTTAAAGCGATAGCCCGCAGAAGTGCTTTCTGGTTAATTTCTCCCATATCTCTCTCACGTATTCACGACCTGTACGACTTCGAGTTTTTTTTAACTTAATGAACAACACTTTTCCATACTCTGAAGCTCGAGCTTCGTTATCTGAGCAAGCAATCACCCAGGACGCGTTGTCATCTAATATCCGAACCGAGGGATTCCCATCCCATGGTGCGCCTTTGTCCTTTCAACCACTTCAAAATCCTCTAATTTATTCAAATTTCTAGTCGCGAGATCTAGCAGTGATTCAGAGCTTACTAGCTCAGACAAGCTAACCGCACTCCCCGACTCTTCTTTGACGCGTCCCCGTATCGTAAGCAGGGTGGAACGTCAGGGCATTCAAACTTCACAATCCCTAGACGATTTCATGGCCCATCCTAATGCTTCCACTCCTGCCATCCTAGAGGGTTCTGTTGGCAAGGGCAGTCCATTTCAACGCGTCTCTTTCGAGAGTGGCCATTCTCGCATACCATCCCCTCCCAGTAATAATTCTCGTCTACCCAATATTGTACATCACCCCTTACTTCGCGATGGCGGCGCTCCACCCTCAAGGTCACCGCTGATCGAGTCAGCACTATCTCGGTTTCGTCGCCCAAGCGACCCCCCGCGACCATCCTCATCCATGCGTGCGGGAGCTCAAACACCTAGGAAGGGTAGCTATGAAACTCCTTCCGCGTCACAATCTCGAGCTGCATCTCCCATGCGCATATTCTCATGGCCTGGCTTTCATCGTAGGGAAACGCGCGAAGAACCATTCGTCCCTCAGAACCCCTTCCAAAGGCGAAACCCATTACGCAGATTTTCTATCGGTAGCCCTGAATTCCACAATATTGAAAGCTTTGATCCCAATTGCGAGGATGCGCTCAAGCAATGTCTACCCCGTCCAATAACATGTTCCCCCTTCAAGACTTCGCGAAGATTCTTCCGCTCCTCTCGTTATTTTTTAATGGACACACTCCCCCGGCAAATCTACCTACATTTACTGCTTCGCCTTCCCTCTCTTTATTTTTCACGCATCGCTCGTGTATATGAGGATGCAGAACTCAGTCGCCCGGATATTCAACGATTGATCGATGCCTGTGCGCCCCAACTCCAGAACCCCAACTCCAGCCATGTTCCGCCAGGAGCTCACTACCACCCACAGCCTGCTCTACCTTTAGCAGATGAATGGACCACCGCCAATGTCTCCCCAGCTCTCGTCCGATTCAAGCATTCCTGGGAGGCATTTATCGACTCCCTGCTCCGAGAGTGGAAGACCCTGAACCTTGTCTCGGCTTTGTTGCTTTCGTAAGTTACTACCGTTGCTTTACGTTCGGAAGTTGTTAAATGTCCCTCCTACAGTGCCATATTATCCATGTTTCAGAACAGCGTGATGGCTCAGGATCCTGTGATCCGCACAGCAGCGCTACTTTCGCTGACGTCCGCATTGATGAGCCTAACATTCGGCTGTATCTACATCGTCCGCTTTGGCACCATGAGAAGTATGTATAAAGCTACCCGATGGGCTGAGGTACGTGGCGTGTGGCGCTGTCATCCCTTCCCGCACGCTCACAGCAACCCCACAGGAAGCACGTAAAACAACAACATTCATTTGGTGGAATGTGTGGGTCCTATTGGCGATGCCTGCAGTATGGCTTGCCTGGTTTGTCCTCGCCGTTCCCATCACATTCTCACACGCTTACCTGTGCCTCTTAGGTCCATGTTCTTTTTCATCGCCGCCATTCTCTCCTTCGTGTGGCGCTCTGATTCTTCAACAGACAACACCAGCCCCGCACCGCTTTCCCCATACGCTATACTGGGCCCGCGCATCGCCATCACGTCCCTATTCATAATCGGGTTGATCGACTTCATGCTGATCGTCAAGACACTGCATAACTACGGACGCGCGCGGAATGCAGAAGGTGAAATACGGTTACTGGGCACGGATGATTCGTCGCAGGCACGGCCTTCTGCTGACCGTGAGCGGGAGGACCGAGGGAGACGGGCAGAACATCTGTCAAGAGGCAGAGCTCGCTTCACGAGAGAGGGGCGTGGGCATCTTGATAGGGATCGCCCGTCTGAAGGTGGCGCACTATCAGCCGTCACAGGTCTCGGCCTCACAAACCTTGATGGCGCTCTGCATTCTAGTCCCCGTAGCTCCAACGAGTTGTCGCGGGAGAAGGACAAGACTGTGGTGATTGTGGCTACCAATGATTGAATAGCATTGTGTGCTTAATTTGGACTCTTACAATGATACCTCCGCTCTTTTTGATCCTTCCGCGTGCAGTTGGGCTGTACAGACATTGTATTACTATTGACCTACTCGTCCACTCTTTTGTGTACCTTACGTGTAAGTAGTCCCGCGAAGGAAGATCATTCAAATTATTATTGGATGGTTTAGTCAGGCACGTTGGAGACAAGTTACACCATAAAGAAGTGATACACCAAATCTGAGATCAAGTCAGGTAAGCCACAGATAGCGAGACAAAACAAGGAAACTCCATCAGAACCAAAGCAGTATCAGGAACAATAAGGTGGATAGGAATGCGTATTCAATAACGAGACAGTGCCAAAAAGATTCGTCTGATAAAGATCTCCCAACGTGCATAGATGGCATACGGCGTCTACCGTGGAAAAAAAAGCGCGGTAATCGTGATGATTTAGAGTACAAAGCAATGACGCGTTCGGACGGCTTCTGAAACTAACCACAGGATGAACGTCAATCGCGTGGACAAAAGATGCTACTCACGCAACAATCATCTGCGAGAACCTGATCTGCCGTTATAATTTGGCGGAGGAAGTTGGGAATTGGGGGGCTGACCCCCCGTGTGGTTCGGCCGGGAAGGATAATGAAAGGGCGTAAAAGCCTTGGTGAGGAGCTCTGCTGCGCCACATCCAATAAAATGGGTGGCGAGATCAAGACCGGGTGGGAGAATTTCGTGACAGCGCGGGCAATCAAGCACCGTTTGTCCAGATGGTTGCATGGCACCGACAGGAGGAGGGATAAACCCACCTCTCGTTGGTGGAGGAGGCTGCGCGTACCCGCCACTGGACGAGGGAAGCGATAAAGATGTGTGGTGCGAAGGGACCTGAGAGTGTCCACGTCTGTTGCTAACGTTGGAGTTTGAAGCGGGAGTGAAGTATGACATAGTGATGCAAGATTGTTTGAGGATGAAGGCTGAAGAAAATTGACAGACGAAAGGGGTTTTATATGGAGGATGCACTGCTGTGGCCGAGGATAGGCTTTGCTTTAACAATGCGGGGATCTTGAGATCGGGCTGCAGTGTCCAAGGTTACCTACAAACACGAGGCTGCCAAGTTACAGAACAAAGTGGATAGGGAAACGCCACAATGCAACATACCAATACATGAGGGGGGCAGACAAGCTGGCCTTAAACCCGGTGGGAGGACAGAACTCAACTTTATTCGAATTTGGACCTTGGAACGGGGCCATATTTGCGATCCTTTCCTTCCACGATTGACTCATTTCGATTAATAAATAACCGAGAATCCTATTATCTATGAAATTGCCGTTATTCCGAATTATTTGAGAATAAACCCCACCTTGTACGCCCGCACCCGTAATAATTTGCCGAGATGAGTTGTTGGAATGGGCTATTGTGATGCCTGATCATCCGCAGAGTCCGAAATAGGTCAGCGATAGGAGCATAATTGCCGACATATTCTAAAATTGCAAGAATAACGGTCAAGACTCAATTGAGCTCGCCAACTGGTGGAAGAACTTCCATGGCTGATGACCCCAAAAAGTATAATAAAGGGGATTCTTTTCGAAAAACGGGTGATTCGGTCTGAATCATTTCCGTGGAAGTTGGGTGAACTAGTGTTGCGGGCGCCGCTGGCCTTAGAACGAGGTTAATTGATATCTCTTGCCATGGGTGTAAATGTATTCCAGGAGGAATCGGGAATTGGAAATGACGAGGTAAGAGTAATGGTATTGATGGTTGTGGCGACAGTGACTACTGAACCCAAGTTGGGTCACTTGGTTGATGGGTAGTCGGGTGTACCGACGAGACGTCGGCCCTACCCTAGTACACCCCTCGCTCATCATCTACGACAACCTGTAGTAACTTCGCGGTCGCTGATCCTCGTGTGCTTCAAGTTATTGGATTTGCCTTGGAAAATGCACGCCTCCGATGGTAGGTGAAAGGACATGAACTATGTTCATTGAACAAGAATAGAAATAGACGCGCACAAAATAATGCTGCGGGACTCCGTTCATACGATTCACCGATGTCATGAATGTTAGCGACCGATGATCCTCATCATCGGGATGATCATTAAACCGTGGATGACCATCGGACGGTGCCGATTCTCCGGCAACGGCCGACGGCACTTTGCGTAGCTACTGAAATGCGTTCAACGATGAGCGTTATAATATTTACAAGCGTAGAGATTGCTTTCTCGGTATGCGGAACCAGGTTCTCCTCCTAGGATTCGTCTGGAGATTTGAACTTAGCCCCCACGCATAATGAGTTCAGGACCAAGCAAGACTTATCTACTGTAAGCCCACCTAGTACTTCTCTGTCATATATACCGATCTAATCTCCGTCAAGCCTCATTACATTTAATCACACCGTTGCCATTGAATAGCTTGTGTGTAAATCGAGAACTCTCTTCTGCATCGTATCTTCAAATTGCTGAGGACCTCATGAGTCTGTCGCTGATCGCCAATAATATTCCCCGCTTTCACACCTCCATCATGATGAAGTGTCGTTGAACATGTTCCTATATTGCAATAACAAGCCCATTTCACCGATTTATTTTTATCCAACAAACGTGTCACGAGCCACGATATTGCAAAAACGGCATGGCCGGGAGCTTCTTATAGAAAACACTTACATTCCTCAGGACGTCGTCACCGCTCTGCGTGACAGAATCCGACTCGTGCAATGTAATCTTGGACCTTATCTCCCATCGTGGGTGCCAGAAAAATCACATTGCGGCTTGCATCCCGATTTCCGAAGGTCATCCTGAGGTCGTCAGTAGACATGCCCCCATGACCATCCATGTCAGGATCGAAGTTGGAAGCCGCCCAGGTATTTAAATCTCGTCATCTGAAAAGAAAGAATCAATACACACGCAGTACCATGTCTCTCCCTTCATCTGACCAGGAGAAACATCGGCCATCTGTTGCAGAAAACATTGATCTTCACCATGAGCCGATAAAACAACAATTCGACTTGGATCCAGCAGATGTCGCTGCTCATGCTCCGTTGCTGCGTGGTCGTAAGCTAACGGCTGCAGTGGCGTTTGTGGCAGGAACCGGGTTCACACTCTTTGGGTGCGTTGAGTAGCTAATAATTACAAATTCTCGTCATTTTGCGATTCAGGTATGATCAAGGTGTCATGTCGTCACTAATTACAGGAAATCAGGTAATGATATGTTCTATCGCTTGCATGCGAACATATACTCATCCTATAAGTTTGAGGGCACCTTCCCTGAAGTCGTAGTGGAGGCCAGTCACCCTGATCACGCCACTCTTCAGAGCTTCATAATCGCCATTTACGTATGTTGTCACCTTTTGTACGCCATCTTTTGTGCTCATAACGTGCAGGAAGTAGGCTGTCTCTTTGGTGCCCTGTCCAATCTTTGGGTGGGAGACAAGCTCGGTCGTCGAAGGTACGATTTTTGTAGGAGGCAGCATAATGATAGTCGGTAACTGAGCCGTCTGTAGCCCGTTAAGAGCACGGGCTGAGTTCCTTACAGGGGCAATTCTGCAAACTACTGCGTTTTCTTTTTCACCCTTGATTTTTGCTCGTATCTTTACAGGCTACGGAAACGGCCTGATAGTCAGTGATGTGCCAACTTGTGCCCAAAGTCCTGCTGAAAACAAGTTTGTAGACATCGACAGTGCCAATATATCACGCGGAGCTCTCCCCATCCGCAAAGAGGGGCCGAATGTACGTTGCTGATAGCATTAGAATGAAAAGATACAGATTTTTTCTAGGATAATGATGGAGGGGACTTTGATTGTGGCTGGAGTAACCATTGCGTAAGTGTGCTTTGCGTCAATCTTTTTGGAATTGACGACTGGCTTGCAGTTATGTGTGCGAATCATTATTTCATCAGTTCATTGTTACTGACAGCTTTCTTTAGTTAGTTGATTTAGCGCTGTATGTTTCAGTTCCATCACCAATTAAGTTTGATCTAGTTAATGACAACGATCAAATCAGATTCTTCGTGAATTGGTCGTCTGCTCAGTGGAGAGTTCCGATAGCACTGCAGTTGGTGTTTGAAATCATTATGGTGACATGCATCGGATTCGTAAGCTTTCTTTCTCCCCAAACTGCGCATACTTGTACTGACATGTCCGATTTGGTGCACTACGCAAGCTTCCCGAGTCACCGAGGTGGTGAGTTCTCTTCATTCTCCATGATTTTCGTGAAACTGATCAGAAACCCAGGTTGGTGAAGCGTGGTCGCAATGCTGAAGCAATGGCCGTTATATCCGCAATGGAAGACAAAGCTCCCGCCGATCCGGAAGTTCAGCGCACGTACTACGGTATTCGTGAAGCTGTTGCTGTCGAAACATCTAGTCAAGGTTCACTGCGTGAACTCACTACTGGGGGTCGCAGCCAAAATTTCAGACGAACAGTCATTGCTGTAGTATTTATGATTATGCAGCAGCTGACCGGCATCAACCTCGTTACTTTGTGGGTATTTCAGTCCCCTGATGCCGACCTGCTGTAATCTAAAAATGCATTGACGTTAACAGTTATGCTGTATGTCATGCGGCCACATTGCCTACCATGACAATGCTGATGTCACGCAGACTATTTTGTTCCAGCGTCTTGGTCTCTCCGATGTCAACGCACGGATTACCGCTGCTGCCAACGGCACAGAATATTTCCTTGCTTCCATTGCTGCTTATTATGCCATAGACTATGTAGGCAGACGCCAACTCATGCTGATTGGAGCCATCGGTCAATGCATCGTGATGCTGCTCTTGGCTGTATTAGGATATATTGGCAATACACCAGCGCAGATCGTGAGCGTAGTTCTCTTATTCGGCTTTAACACGTTCTTTGCTTTTGGATGGCTTGGCTTGGCCTGGTTATACGTCAGTACAGCAACGGCTGCTTTGATCTTGTCGCTGATCTAATCTTTTTAATTTTGATCTTCCAGTGCGCTGAGATTGCCGGGCTTAGAACTCGAGCGCCGACAAATGCGCTAAGCACGGGTTTGTCAATATTGTGCGCCAAGACATGGAAACAAATTTACTTACCCGTTTTTTCAGCGTCAAACTGGACTTTCAACTTTGTCGTGGTGATGATTGTTGGTCCAGCATTCAACAATATCTCCTGGCGAACCTACATCGTCTTCGCGGCCCTGAACGCAACCATTGTTCCAGTTGTTTACTTTTTCTTCCCCGAAACTGGCGGTCGGTCTTTAGAAGGTAAGTTGTACGCTGTCTTCTATCCAGGATTGGCCCTTGGCTAATTCTATCCTGGAAGACCTCGACGTTGTGTTTGCGTTGGCGTACATAACTGGTGAAGATCCAGTCAAAGTCTCACTTCGGAAAGACGTCCCGCTTGCTGGATCGCAAGAGGCGGATGAGATTCTTGGAGTCAGCCCAGGCGTTCAATATCACCCTACGGAAAAGCCTCCGATGCCATCCTCTTCACCTGGAAAAGCCAGAACACCGGTGTAGATGCGAAGGTTGCTGCATTGAGGCCTGATAGTAAGCTGCTCACGATTCAATCATATTGGGATGTGAGCGAGCTTAACTTATGGAATGCGTGCGGTCGCAAATTGAACGAGTTAGGCTAGGGGAAGAGGCAAGTACTTGCACTTCATTATGTATATTTCGTTGCTATCAATGTCAGGACTGGACCAAGTGGTCAGCTTGAAGAAAAAAGACTACCAGTGATAACGCACCGAATTAGTCAAGTTTACGGGCACGTAACCTGGATTCATCAGTTGACAGTGAAGTGATCACACTGACCTTTGACTCTGAGAGTCTTAGTGTGTTCATGTTCACCCTTGCAATGCAAGACGACTGGTTGCGAGTCTGCACTATGACTCCCAAATTTGATGTTTTTGGGTGTTGTTCAGGTGGCCTCCGAGTCTTGACTTAATTGTTATATAATAATACAATACGTGAGTTCGAGCGCCACGAGATGACCCATCGATTGAATAGCATGTTCTTTCAGACCCTGATTTCTGAGGGATGCAATTCTGATGAAGTATTTGATCGCTGTCATTTCTGGGCCCGTCATTTGCAACACAATACTCCCCCACACCGCTACCCACTACCCCAATACACTGCAACCTCCCCCATTACAGTGGCCATCAATCACAACAGTATTGAGTCTTCAGGACACCGTTTAAGAAGCAACCTTGGGTGTCTGCCACAGCTCCCGAGCACGTATGTCCACACTCAGCCCAAGTGCATGACAAGGTAGTCACAGTCTCCGAGCCGGGTATAGCTCGTGTGCCAAGCGGACCGACAGCTGTTAATGCCAGGAGTATGGCTGACAAGAGGTCACGGATCATCTAGACCATCAGTGTCATAAGTTGGATCTACAGGTTGGCAACTGGACTCTTACCGTCAAAAGTGCGAGTTTATAACTAGCGCAATAGCACGGGTCTGTTTTTCGTTCTGTTGTTCGTCAGCTCTGTGCTCACGCACTTTATAGCTGCTACTCGTCAAAATATTAATCCCTAAGTTAAAACTCAGCATTCATGCCAGCATCATGACGAGCATGGAGATTCTATAATTCTTACCACATGCTTTTATACATGATGGCGATGATACACCGTTTGATTCAACCTCAGGTTCCTTGACAGCATGATAGATGCTAATTTATTATGCTACCAGTGCGCTGACTAGAGTAGGGCCGAGCGCCGGTAAAAATATCAATATTGAACAAGTAGGGGTTGTCGATCGTCAGTGAGAGCAAAATATAGCTGAAATACATTTGGTACATAGTTGAGTTGACATGCGACATACGTTGACATCGTGATCGTACAAGATATTACAAGATTGGCCCACGAGGATGAGACTTGGGAACAAATTCTATACAGTGGCCCATCTGCCTTGTTCCTGCTATTTTCAGCACCGACTCCTCTACGTGGACACCAAACGTGCGCGAATCTAGTCTGTCGTTATTAAAGTAGATGTGATATCGAGTGATTGGATCAAGGTCTGCCGTTTTGAAGTTTGCTTGTCTCCTTCACAGCCTCTCTACGTGCATTCTGAAAAGGGGATCCCATGCGAGTCTGAACATGCGCAGCCCCTTCTTTGAAGTACGGGGCTACACCTGCAACGATCAGAAGCACTGACACATCCAATTTATGCAAAGGGCAGAGCGGGCACCAGCAACTCGGGTATAACATTGCCCAAGTTGAGGAGTACCTTAAATGACCCTGCATCCTCTGCTGGCGTGCGGATAGCTACGGATGGGAGTAGTTAGACGCCCAGTCTGAAAAAGTCTGGGTGCAAATTTATTTTCCATCTTCCAATTGCCACGCGATGGTCGACGGCGGAGCTGATCTCGTGAAGTCCTTTGGCTTCGCATACCATGAGAGTGTGCGTGACGCCAATGTCACGGAGGGATTAAGCGAAGGTAGAACTGAGTTCACGCGCGCCCAAGACCATGCTTCGTAGACGTGCAGACGTGCGGGTCTATAATTTGTTCAAAGATGTTGAAGAGCGTTCTGAAGGATAATGACTTGTAGTATGGTGGCGAGGCACGATAATGAAGGTGAATGACACCTTAGATGTGGGAAAGGGAATAAACAGTCGAGGGATTGTAAAAGATTCGCCGATCCGTAGAAACCCCTGCTTTTGTGCTTGCTATTTAACTCCTCGACTATGTTGCTACAGAAATGCAAAATAACCTTAGGTTGATCATCCGTGCGCCGGGAGAAACAACGGCTGCTGGGGTACTGACCTTAAATGTACTGTGACCATCTCCAGTTCCAACGATATCCACAACAAGATGCGAGTCACCATCTTCGATGGCTGCTTGTAACGCACGCACCGCTAAGTTTAACTTCAGTGTGTCGGCGAAGCTCGAGCGTCCCCATCATAATATAGCATCGCTCATCACTTCGCGCGAATCCTCGTGCGGCAACACACTTCTTGGATTTGGCTTCGGAAACGATTTGTGTACACCTGAGTATTGGTGGACCGGAGGGCATGAAAATCATAGATTATATTCGATATTACTGGTATCGAATACGGAATGAACGTTGTCTTATCTCGAGGGTCGTGGGATTCTGATTCTGATAGCAAGAGTTTTGCCGCAAAACTGGTTGTGCCTGTTCCACGGCAGAACTCACGCGAAAGGAGAGTGGCAGAACCTGGAAGAACTACAGAGTATCCGAGACTCGCAGAGATCCAGATATCTGATAACACAGTTCAAATTGAAGAGAATGTGAAAACCGACGTCCTTGAAGCACAGTGCATGCTTGGCCGTGGGAACGGTTGGAATCCTCCAGCAAGGTCCGACGGCATCCGATCATATCGCCGATAGCCCGATATCACCTTCCGACCTAGTTCAACGACGAACGTCACGGTCCGGTTGATATCTGCTAGGGTCCAGCGTCAAGATTGCTCCAGTGTTCTCATCATTTATATGGTCAAACTAGAAATAGGTTTCAAACTTGTGAAAATATTTCTTTTGTTGGGCTGGTACATATCATAGCGGGTACCTCTAGGATCGATATGAGCCAAGAATTAAAAAAATCGGCGGTTGGGTTGTGGAGATATGGTCGAAATACTGATATTTTGGCCTACCCACCATATCTCAATATTTCTGACCTCCAGAGGGTATGGGACCATCACCAATCGATTCCTGCACTTGGAAAACCTTAGGACAGTTGTTTATAGTACCGGTCTTAGGCCAAAATGAGGCACAGTGACATATAGGAGGTAGGAGGGGGGAGGGGGACTTTGCACATCTCAAGAACGTGATTTTTTCTAAGAAATCTGGCTCGACCATCGTGTTCAGAGGGTTCAAGAGCCCTCGGGAAAAATGCTTTTGGAGTCCTGGCAAGTCATGGGAAGTCTGTAAAAATCGATCTTTGTAGGGGGTGTCAGCAAAACTGACATATTTCATTTCAGACAGGCTCAAGCCACTCTGGGACCATTCCCAATCGATTTGTATGATTGAAAAACACCAGGCACAGTCTTTTATATATTGGTATTTACATAATATCAAGATATGGGAGGTAGGGGGGGAGGGGGACCTTGCATATCTCAAGAATGCGATTTTTTCTGGGAAATCCAGCTCGACCATCGTGTTCAGAGGGTTCAATAACCCCCAGGAAGAATACTCCTGGAGTCCTGGCAAGTCATGGGAAGCCTAGAAAAATCGATCTTTGAGAGGGGGTATCAGGCAAACTCACACATCACAATTCATATTGGTTCAAAACACTCAGAAATCAACTCCAATCCATTTGCATGATAATCAAACAGTAGGAACACTATTTTGCACATCAGCATCAACATAAAATCATGCCTTTTGGTGGAGTAGGCAGGGGGAGAGGGTACCACAACTCTGAAACATGATTTTTTTTGAGGAAATGAGCATTGCCATTGCATTCAGATGGTTCAATAACCTTTGTACAAAGTCCTATTTGAAGCCAGGCAAGTCACATGGAGGCTGAAAAAATCAATCATTGGGTGAGGCAGCATGACAGGGGCGACTCTGCTTACATAAGCAAAAGCGGTCAATTTGGATACAGGGAAGCAACTTTGGAACTTGACTTTGACAGATCAAATGGCTGTTGCTGCTTGATGCATATGAGTTCAATGACCTCAGTAATGAGCCTGAGGTCCATCCATGCAAGTCATATGACTTGGGGTGGTTTATGACTCTGAAGCACCATTTTTAACACCAAATGAGCATTGCCATCGCATTCAGATGGTTCGATAACCTTTGTATCAGGTTCTATCTGAAGCCAGGCAAGTCAAATGGAGGCTGAAAAAATCAATCATTGGATGAGGCAGCATGACAGGGGCGACTCTGCTTACATAAGCAAAAGCGGTCAGTGGGCAACTTTACAACAACATGACTTTGATCCATCAAATTCTAAGGGCACATTTGTAACCTGGTATTGGTTACACCCAGGTTATGGCTAGCCAAAAGAGCACAATCTGGGCATTTCTGAACATGTCAAAAATGCGCAGAACAGGGGAGGTCAGATCTGGGCATTTCTCAACATGTCAAAAATGCCCAGAACAGGGGGGGGTTGGATCTGGGCATTTCTGAACATGTCAAAAATGCGCAGAACAGGGGAGGTCAGATCTGGGCATTTCTCAATGTGTCAAAAATGCCCAGAACAGGGGGGGGTTGGATCTGGGCATTTCTCAACATGTCAAAAATGCGCAGAACAGGGGAGGTCAATTCTGGGCATTTCTCAACATGTCAAAAATGCGCAGAACAGGGGAGGTCAGATCTGGGCATTTCTCAACATGTCAAAAATGCCCAGAACAGGGGGGGGTCAGATCTGGGCATTTCTCAACATGTCAAAAATGCGCAGAACAGGGGAGGTCAATTCTGGGCATTTCTCAACATGTCAAAAATGCCCAGAACAGGGGGGGGTCAGATCTGGGCATTTCTCAACATGTCAAAAATGCCCAGAACAGGGGAGGTTGAATCTGGGCATTATGAAAGCAATTCAACCGTGGGAACTACTCCGATAAAAATGCAAAAATCAAGCAAAGTCAAGCAAAGTCTGAACGAGGATTCGACCCGGGCCATAAGGATAAGGATAAGGAATACGATAGTCAAGACTACGATAGCAAAAAATCAAGAAAACAAGCAAAAGACAAGGATAAGGATCACGACGGTCAAGACTACGATACGATAAGCAAGTCAAGGATAAGAAACGCGATAGTCAAGACTACGATACGATAAGCAAGTCAAGGATAAGAAACACGATACCATAGTCAAGACAAGGATAAGAAATGCGATAGACTACGATACGATAACTTACGATAACAATACGATAGTCAAGGATAAGGATAAGGATAAGCAGGGCAATCATATGTTAGACCGTCCCCACCCACCCACCCGTTAGCTCTCTCGTCATCTCGTATAAAAACGTATTCTCTCGGTGTCTTGCTTCTCGGTTAGATAGCTTAGCAACACACTACAATACACCACAATACAATACCCCAGCAAGACAAGCAATACAACAGCAATAACTCAGGCAAAATCAACCAACACAATACCAAAAAAATAGCAGAAATCATCCAAAATGAACCCAAGTCTGAACAACATTTTCGCCTAAGCCTGCCCCTCACATCAACCAAAATCAAGCCATGCAATACCAAAAAAATACCAAAAATCACCCAAAACCAGCCCAGTTATGGGCGTTTCACGATGTTCCGAGGGTCGGCATAGGGTCGAACTTTTTGCCTGTTTCGGTCACCGAACAGATCTTTTCTGTCGATGTGGGCGTCTGGGACTCCCGCTGTGTATGGACACAATACATACGTGTATGCATGCGTCGATGTGGGCGTCTAGGACTCCCGCTGTGTATGGACACAATACATACGTGTATGCATGTGCCGATGTGGGCGTCTAGGACTCCCACGATGCACAGGCGCATCCCACCTTACACTTCCGTAACACTTCACATATCACCCATACACACCCCTCCCATGACGTTGGCCTTCCAGGACTCCCACTGTGCGAGGGCTCGAAAATATCGGACCTCATCTACATGCGCACACAGTGAGTGGGCGTCCAAGACTCCCACTGTGTTGGGGGATTGAAACATTTACAGCCTATCGTGATGGTGGCCTTCCAAGACTCCCGCTGTGTTGGGGGATTGAAATACATCATACAGCCTATCACTACAGTGGCCTTCCAGGACTCTCACCATGTGAGGGCTTGCAAACATCGGACCTCATCTGCATGCCCATACAGTGAGTGGGCTTCCAAGACTCCCACTGTGTTGGAGGATTGAAATATATCATACAGCCTATCATTAACAGTGGCCTTCCAGGACTCCCACCGCGTGGGGGCTCAACAATGTCAGACCTCATCTGCATGCACATACAGTGAGCGGGCTTCCAAGACTCCCACTGTGTTGGGGGATTGCAACACGTCGTACAGCCTATCATTATAGTGCCCTTCTAGGACTTATCATACCCAGCGGGTGTCCATGACTCCCACTGTGTGAGGGAATTACTCAAGTGATAGTAGCCATTCAATGTGCGCAGATTTGACACATAAGCAACACTGTCATAACACTGGCCTTCCAAGACTCCCGCTACGTTGGGAGTATTACACAAATCACACTACCTTGCATCATTCACAGTGAGTGGGCTTCCAGGACTCCCACTGTGTTGGCTCATGAATCGTATCCAACCACCTGTCATCACAGTGGCCTTCCTGGACTCCCATTGTGCATACGATTATCCACCAGCCACCGGTGCATTAATATTGAAAGTGGCAGCTTGCTTCACACTTGCACCATAATAATAATGTACAATTGTGATGGATCCACTATCACTTAACTTACAGCTGATTCCGAAACCATGCGGAATCGCAAAATCAAAACTTGTGCGTCGCATGCAATGACTAGTCTACATCAGATGCATCCAAGGGAAGTGTTTCATGCGAGGCTACCGCTACTCAATCTTACCAATACTGACTCTCGATGGAATCATTGCTTATGATATCATTGAGGGACCAGCATCAGTGAATTGATGAGTCCGTGATATGGTAGCCATGAGAAATATAGGATGATATAATTCTGCTCCTGCTGAATATACCTATATATATGGCAAAAAATATGAGTGATCGGTACATAGCCATGGATGTTTGAAAATCCATTTTACCATGAGGAGTTTGTGACAAGATCATGATGTTGTACCGCTGCAGCGATCAATGTGCAGTAGCATCATTTAGTCACACTTGTTGACTCGTACCATATTCCTTCATTTATGTTTTGAACTACCAAGTGATATAAGACTTTATCATGGAAAACACCATTAGCACTTGTAACCTAATGTAGATTCCTATGAGAGTTTCTGACAAGGCCATGTTACAGTGCCCCACTCTTTTTCTCATCATCACTGCGGACTCCTATATGGCTGTACTTCTAATGCTTCCTTTTCACTGTGCTGTTTCCTCATGGTCTCCCTTATCTTTGACTCATACCTTGTTTTCCCATGAACCTTCCTTTCTCAGTAGTCGTTACCCTTTGCCCAGCCTGGTCTGTGCACGATTTCCTTACGTATATAAACCCTAGCTACCACTTGTATTTTCTCTAACTTGAATCTACTCAGTTCTCTTTGATACTCGAACTCTAGCTCCTTGGGAAGGAGGCTAGCCATTGTCCCATTTGAACCTTAGATCCTGTGGGAGTCTAAGTGATCGCTCCTGAGGGAAGCGTTGATTCGATAAGGCTCAGTCCTTGATTGACCCTGACCTTGATTCCTTTATTGGAACGACGCTCTATCTGAGTTCGTAACAGGCCATGACTTTGTGCCATCATGGCCAGCGAGGTATGATAGTGTAATTAGGTACCATTCATTGAGCCATATAATATTCCCTCATTTATATTTGATTTACAAAACTATATAAGTGGGTTCAAATATTGTGTAAATTACAATGTCATCCAAGGTCATGCACATGACCATCACCCTGCTCCACAAGGCCAGAAAATCAGGACCCAAACACTCATTCACAAATGATGATTTATTTGTATATATATGTGTCCCGTTTCTTTCACAGTAAATGACTAGTTCTTTGGCGCTACTGTGGTGTTCTCAATCAAATTTTTTTGACCATTGTATCAGCCTCTAGGGTTCAAACACTTACAGGTATAGCTAAATTCATTGTCAATGACTGTTTACATCAGCAGCCTCAGATTTTACTAATGAATTATTGTGGGTAACCCCAAATCACATGACCAGTGCAAGTGGCTGAAATTGATTTGTCATTGTTTGTGCAGGACAGAGCAAGGTGAAAGTCAGCAATGCTAGAGTGCTTGAGCTTACAGGATGCTTAGGTAAGCCATTTGAAAAATTTCATGCAAGTTCCTTTCAATTTTGTTTCACTACTACTACTACCACCCTCTCGAGCTCAGTGTTTCCTTGTTAAGGTCGTACTCAAAGGATAACTGGATCCGAAGCCCCTTACCCAAGTATTGCCCCTTATTTCAGGAAGGCAAGACTAACACGTCCAGAAGGTTGGATGAGTAGCGTAATGGATCCAGATGACTTCCGGATGAGGGATAAGTATTGTAGGGCTAACCTGGACGAGTCCAGGCTAGAAACTAACAGTAATGGACTGTCAGAGACAGAGGCAGATATGGATAGACTATAGGAATCAATCCTAAGTCTCAGAGGGTGACGAGAGTAGAGATACTCAAGTCCAGAGGACAGGAATGAGTAGAACTAAGATGATATTCAAACTGAGGTACTACAGAAAGTTACAGGAGGTTATATACTATAGGTATCTAATGGAATGATCAATCAGCAGAGTCCGAGGCTATGTATGAACCATGTGGATAGTCTATTGGTAAGTAGAACAGATCACAAATCATGAAATGGAAATGAAACATAGGTAGCAGATCAGGGAGCAGGATGGATATACAGATAACCAAAATACCGGAGTTAGGGGGTTACTGAAAGTAGACGAACACTGGTTGTGGATTCAGATGAGTTGTGGACCAGACCGGACGAGTGGACAGATTGAATGACAAGATGTTGGAGGGGGATAAGATGTGAGGATCGGAGATTGAGATGATAAGGGTTGGATCTGAGATCCAGATATGTGGATATGACATTCCTGGCCTCCCTGGCCTTTCCTTGTGTTCCCTCCCCAGCCTTTCATGGTGCTCCCTCCTTGGCCTTTCCTTGTGGTTCCTCCCTGGCCCTTCCTCATGGTCCCATCCTGGCTGTTCTTTGTGGCCGCTCTGTCATCCATCTTGTGCTATTCCCTCTCCACTATCTTTCCCTGTTTCTTTTTTGTCCTGTAACTACATATGTATTCTAATATATATAAAATTGATTTTCTTCATAAAATGAGTGTTAAGGTTGAGAATTATTTGGTGCTGGTGATAAGATGGCAGGTGGTTGCAGGCAATTTGTCATGTTTGCATTTTTGGTAGTTCTGTGCAACTTACTCCAGATAGTATCATTTTGATAGATATTATATAAATTTTAGGGGTAGACAAAGCTTTGTAAACCTTTATATTTTCGAGTCAATTACCTGATGCTTCGTAGTTGTGAACCTTCCTTCCGTTATGGCATTATTGATTAATCTAGCTCAACTGTCGACTTCTGCTGCACCTTCACTTCAACTGTGAGTTTGAGTGAAATCAGGACCTTTTCTCAATCATAAAATTTTGTAAGAAAATCAGGGAAGCTTCTTTCCTCAATAAGGCCAAACATAACAATGTGATTGTCAATAGCAGAATTATGCTGGTTCTTGTGATTATGTACTATATATCATGATATATGGCCTTGTACTTTCTTCATGAGTTCACTGATGAGTGATGAGCAAGTGATTTACACAATTCTTGTGCAAGCATGTGGCAAGGTTTCATTCATATGACTTGGATCAGAAGTTGACTCATTGTTTGCAGCTGCCTTTAACCAGCCCATATCCAGGGCCATGTAGTGTCTTGGTTTTTGACAATTGCCACATTCACCATAGCAACAAGGTCTATTGTCTCATCGAGGAAGAAGCTCTATGCAGGCTTGTATTTCTGCCTCCATATTCACCTGACTACAATCCTATTGAGCAAGCCTTTCTACTATCAAAGCATATTTATGACAACATTTTGATGACAAGGCTTTAATGAGTATGGTATGAGCACATCAAGCCATCACACCTGATAAGGCAGAAGGTTATTTTCGAGCTTCTGGGTATATTGCCCAGCTATTCTACTGATTCATAGTGCTAGTTCTAAATAAAAGGATCTTCTGCATCTGCATGATCACCCTCTGACTTGAAAGTGAACCCAGGAGGAAAGATAACCCAACTCTTCCTGTTTTTGCAGAAGTAGTAAAGGTTGTAGTGCAGAATTTTGTGCTCTGCTAATGACTTGTCAGCATACACAATGAATTGGGATATAGCTATGCACCTGGCCATGTGACACTGCCTTTCTTCAGCCAAATAATGTCACCTGCACTAAGACCAACTTGAGCAAGATCTTGGTCAGCCATGTCCACAAGTATATTTGGACCTATACCAATGCCACACAGAGAGGCTTCATATGTTGAGGCAAATGCAACACCAAGGTGGTCTTTGGCATACTTCAGAAAACAAGTGAGTGTCAAGGGTGTTGGAGCAACAGGTGATGTGACAGGGAGTGATGTCACAGTTCAAACAAGAACTGGTGTCAAAGGGGTAGCCTCATGTGTGAGATCTTGCACAGTTTGCAACAAGAGCATAGATGTGAGTGAACTGATGTCAGTTGTACTAACTGGTGTAGCTGCAGGTGTTGCAGCAGGAGCAGTTGCAAAATGACACATTGTATGCAAAGCAGGGTCACGCTTCATGAGATCAAAGGATGGGATATTGGGTGGTACTGTGGTGGTAGCCTCTCCGTTGTACTTGATTTTCATACTAAGTATTAATCATTATAATTTGATGTCAATCAGAAACATACCATTGCACAAGCCTAGTCCTTGATCATTGTGCATTGCCCCTTTTAAGAAGCCTCATGATGGGGAGTTGACAAAGAACCAGAAGTCATTTAATTATCACCTCTCTAAGATATTTTTTTTTGAAGGGCCATATTTTAATAAATTGATTTTATTTATTTAGATCCATGGTCATGTTGAACACATGTTTGCTGTTCTAAAGGGATGATTCCAGTCCCTTTGAGAGCTCCAGTTCAGGATTGTAAGGATCCATGATCCTTTATGCACAGACCTTATCTTTACATCAAAATGGCAACACCCATCCACATGACTCATTGATATGAATAGGCTCAAACACTTCATATCCAACTTACATGGATACATTCCTTCATCTCCCTTTTTCCATTTTCTTTCATTACTTTACCTTGTGCTTAGACCTAACCATCTCCTTGTTTCACCAAAGTATTTTCACCTCGCCATATGCTTCATGTTCTCATTCCAGCCTAGTCAAGTATTTGAAAACGTATATATACTGCTCATGTACTCTCCTACCTACAGTGAATCTTAGAGTCAGATCCCTGCTCCAAGTATGACCAAAAAGTCCCTCAGAAAGTCTCTATCACGGCTGTTTCCCAACTTGTCTTGCTTCAGAATCAGTTTTTGCTCGCAATTCCCTACTAAACTCACACTGAGCCTTACAGGATCCAGGCTAAGAAAGACATTGATTTTGCTGTACAGTGGATTAAGTATTGTATCATGCTGCATAACATGATCATTTGCTTTGAAATTGAGCATCACAAGAAGGATGGAACATACAAGAGTTCTCTAAAGTGGGCTTATGGAGAGGGGGAAGATTTTATTGATCAAGAGATTGAGAGTCCAGATGGTGATGAAGTAGTTGGTGACAGGTCATATGAAGGTACTCCAGGTCAAGCTGCTCATACAAGGCTGATGTATCCATTCTTTGACAGTCCTCACTTAGGTGCACAACACAGGGAAGGATGATAACCAACAACAATGCTTATTTGAACATGTACTACTACCAATACACCTGTACAACAAATGTATATACCTATGTAATATGAATGAAAGTACCACAAGACATAGAACATGCACATATTCAATGGAAAAAATGAGTAACAACAAATGATGACAACAACACAACCCCTGACAATGATGATGATAAGATAACAATGTGGACAGGACAAGGGGATGGACAATGATAGATGCAGATAATGACAGATGCAGACAGCAACGGTGACAACACAACAGAACAACTCATCCAGTTTCTCCATCTGATGTGGCCTTGGAGGCCTGCATCATTTGGTGGAACTGGATCTTGAGGCAGAGGATTTCTGCTTCCTTGTCAAGCACCAAGGAATGTGCTTGGTGGACCTGAATATCTGTCTCATGAAGCCAAATCTGGGTATCTTTGGCCTCTTGCAGGCGCTGATAGCTGACCGTGGCTTGGGAGACTTTATGCTCCTGGGTAGTGCGAAGCCAGTCATATTTCTTTATGTCACAATTGTGCTCACTTTTGGCTTTGAGCTTGATGATGTAGGGTTGATGTCTGTCCTTGTGGCATGATATCATGCTAGAGTACAAGCTCTTGATTTTGTCCCTCACCTGCTCCACCTGCTGCAACACATTCAACTTGGCCTTTTTCTTCTTCAAGCCACTGGCACTATGTGGAAGTGATGTCTAAGGCATCAGGGACATATGATACTTTGATGATGATGTGGTGTTGCATGTCATTGATGAGGGTGTCAATGTGCTGCATAATATCACTGACAGCACTTTGTGTCACCCCCCATAGCTTGATGGCATTTGGACACCAAACACTGAGTGGTTGTTGTATGTGGATGCCAGAGTTCTTAATGGCATGATGAACAGTTTTGGAGGGGAGGGAGGAGGAGAGGGTGATGAATGAAGTTGACACTTCTTCCCCACAACTGGGGAAGGGCTACCAAGCATCATGTTGTCATCATTGTTGCCCTCAATGTGGTCCAATGCATCCCCCAAGGGGGAATGCAATGGACCATAGGGCAGGTACATACCACCAGCAAACAAATTTCATTAGGAGGCTGGCAGGGCCCAGGTTGGTAGGCAGATGGAGGGTTTGAGACATTGGGAGTGTGTGATGAGTGCTGACTGGGGCCATAGTACATTGAAGGACCAGCCCCACCATGTGGTCGAATGAGAGAGTAGAAGGCACCTGTGTGGTCAATACCAGGTCTTGATGAGTGCACCTTTGCAGCCATGGACAGATTAGAGTGCCAAGTTCTGTGTACCATGGCAGCTCTAGGAGCCTGGCATCTACAACAATCAATCAGCAAAGAACAAGAGAAAACAGGTCGGAAGCTCACCTAGTAGATTTTTTGCTGGAGTCCCCTCAGCTGGATTTTTTTGTATTTACCCCTAAGACTGCATGAATTTTAGAATATTTATTAATGGAATAAAAAATGACTAGACTTACATCCTGATATGATTGCACACTGCATTGCGGAATTTTTTTGGATTGACTGAGTATGCAGGACCATACTTGATGTGGTCCATGAAGACAAGCTTAGCGATGACACTATAGATCTGCCCCTTACCTGAGCCTGAGGAACTGCCATCTGTAGCAACCATGGCTTTCTTGCTATCAGAATAGAATAAAATCCTACAATCGGCAGGGTAAGTGTATGTTAATCCCAGGCTAAGGACATGTGGGGCAAAACAATGTGAGATCTCCTGCATTCAGGTTGTCAGAATGATGGCCAAATCCATGCCATTTCATGGCCTTCAACTGCCTCCACTGTCAAGTGACTCTCATGAGCTCTCTGTATTGGTCCTTGCCACATGCTTTGTCAATATAATATCCTTGAAATGATAGAGATATAGCATTACTGGACCAAGGTGTGGAAACATGCTCAAGGTCATTTGCTGAAGCTTGCTATAATAGTTCATCACTAAGGTGCTGCATTCAAGGTTGTCCAATAGAAAATCATCAAGCACCCTAAAGGTGAACAAAGTCTTGGGCTTGTTAAATGATGTGGGGAACAATCCATGTCGAAACATTTGAATGTCTGGACTCATGGCATTTGGACAATCACAACATTGAACCTTGAGGCGATGAACTCCTGACTTGTCAATGATGACTATTGTGTTTTCCTTTGGCTGGAACTCAGGTCCTGACACAGATGGTAAATCTTCAGGCTCAAGCTGGTCTTCAGGTTTATCTTCTTCGAACAAATCCCACCTATCTGTGAGGACCAGACATTGTTTGTCATCATGACCGAGGTGTGCGATGAGTCTGAAATGAGTGAGACAACTGTGCTCAAAAAATTGACCATTCCATTGACTGATCCAGTGGAAAGGATTGCAACAATGTTGACTTTTGCAACAGCCAGTGCAATAGAGTGGCTCCCCAAGACAATCTTGACATTTGCAGACTTCATCCTGGTCACAGACAATGCATCTCCTATCTTCTGGTGGAGCTTCTTGATCCAGGAGGTGATGTAGATATGATTCCTGCCTTGGCAGCCATTACTTGAAGTAGTCATTCTGACTCTGCATTTTTTATACTTAGCTATTGTTTGAATAACAATCCAACATTTTACATGAACTTGCCATGGTTTTTGGGAGTTGCAAAGGCTCAAATGAGCCTTGGTCATGCTTGTAAGTATTGTCAGGAAAGTCTTCCCAAGGAGGTGGTGCCTCAACAGGCTAAAGTGTTGGTGATTCTGGGGGAGAGTTAGGCATGGACCTGTAGGCATGTCTTTTGTGCTTACAAGTGGGACCTTGACCCATGTCTTCCTACCTTTGCTGCCCCTTGCTTCTACCCTGTGGGATTTTTGCAGTGGGGTGCATCTACCTATCTTCATCTTATTTTCTAATGTTGCAAGCAAAGCATTAGCTCAGGAAGGTTGAATGAATTGCTGTTCCAATATGATGTTATGCAGTCTTGATGCATCATTACAAATTCATTTCCATTAATGGTATTGCAGCCAATGTGGGTTGATTAACCTACTGATAGGCTTTGCTCAAAGTTCAATTTGTCACCATTATTACTTCCACCTTGCTTATCCAGGCCATTCTGCAATCTCATTCACCATGGCAAGATCAGGTCATTCCACTCAGTTGACTTCTGGAAGACATAGGGCATGTCAACCACAGACACAGAAGCTCACAGAAAATGAAATTTTGGAGTTGAAGAACTACCTCCCTGAGTGGACTTTGGCAAAAAGGAAAGAGAAGTGGGCAGTTTTCACTGCCATAGCTAGGGCTGCCAGGTTATTTGCTCCTGAGGTCGACCAAGCATAATGGAAGAAGAGGAAGCAGGTGATTCATCCTTGCTGTGTTGAAAAACTAAAATTGTAATATCTTATTCTTCCATCAATGCTCAAATGTACAAGACTTGGTTGTTCAATAATGGGAAAAAGAAGGAAAGGAAGGACATGATAAATTATGGATGCCTAGGATGGTGATCTACCAGTGGAACCGGGAAGAGGTGCTAAAGAGGATCAAGGACAAGTCTGGGGCAAAGCCAGGAGGTCCCGGTATGTTCAAGCATTATCAGGCAGCTGTAAAGAGAGTGATGGCTGAATTGTCCAATAACAAGTTGGAGAAGGTAAAGGAAACAGCCAAAGAATGGTCCAATAACTTTCCTCCTCCCAAGATACAAGCACAAGTCACTCATAAGAAGGGACCTGTGTATATGGAGTACTTTTTGAAGAAGATGTGGAGGCAGTGCAGGATGAGAGTGTTTGTGATGTTAGCTTGGAAGAATGAACAGGGAGAGGTGCTGTTTGGGATGTAAGTGAATTTTGCTGGTCATCGCAGATCTTCCATCTCAATACATTTCATGCAGACATGATGATAATGAGGTATTAGGAGATGGGGACAGCTTCATGAAGATGAAGGACTAGGAGGACATTGAGCTAGTTTGGCAGGAGTATGTGCAGGAACAGTTTGGTGAGTGTTTGAACTCTGGCTACTAGAAGGAATTTGTTGATCATCTTGATGATAGGTGCCAGGGCATGGGATGGATGACAACAGATGGAGGGAGGTCAAAAAAAGAATTAGAAAGCCTGCTTTTAAACTCAAAACTGACAGGGATGGGATGCCATTGCTTCCAGACATCACCAAAACAAAACTCGAGGAGAAGAAGGCAATAGCAAGGGCATTTCTTACATCGCACTATTGTGAGTCTATCGCCACAACACCCAAGAATTTGTTGAATGCATGGACACAGGGATCTGTTCTGGGATTGACAAGGCAGTTGTGCCATGGAGTGCCATCATACAAAGTCAGGATGACTTTGTGGCAAGAAAGTATGTTCCAGCAGATGTGGACTTGAAGGAGCCTTCAAAGTTGCAAAATTGGGACACTACAACCTTACTCAATTTCTGGCATGCTCAGCAGGAGAAAGGTGATGGTCCAACATTCCTGTTCAAAGCATGGAAGAACAAAGATAGAGACATGGTAGCATCAGTTGTATCTGGGAATTCACCTTCTCATCAGACTTGTAAAGTAAGGAAGCAGATGATCCAAAGGCCTCAGAATTCATCAACCAACACCAAGAGTGACTCTCATCACATGGAGGATGATGCTGATGATGATGTGGCTGATGGTAGATCCCCACAAAAGAGACCCAGAAGAGAGCCAGATCCTTTGACAGCACATAAAGGGACAGTGGTCCCATGTGCAACTCCAAAGCCTTGCCCAGTCAAGCCAGCAAAAACTGGTGCACTGCTGACATCACAAATGGGTGACCTCCTGGCTGGGTTGACTAACAGAGTCACCAGCAATGTTGAGGAGGATGTTGTAATGGAAGGAGGGCACATGTCTCCAGTGCTGAAGAACATGTGGGGAAAGAAGTGGTGATTGATCCATTGGTGAGGACAACCCAGAGTAAGTCAATGCAAAGCCATCAGACAGTACCCCTCAAAAGACCATTCAACAATCAATACTTGGGACTTGGTGATGCTCAGTAAAGCAAGAATTGAACTTCCATGTTCAACACTCAGGACTCAGTAAGCCAAAGTGAGAATTAAACTTCTGTGTCTGACACTCAGGAATCCCTGAGCCTTAGGAACTCAATTGGAAATGGAAGAGGAATGTATCACAAATTCAGTTGTTTACATGATGTGGTATGTTAATGAAAATTTGGAAATTTACATGTGATTTGACTACTATCAGAAATTCAGTAATTTACATTTGAATTTGATCTTCAAACTGATTGATCAGGGAATCTACTACCTTGAGCATTTT